ATCTCTTGACCTCGTGATCCACCCGCCTCGGCCTCCCAAAGTGCTGGGATTACAGGCTTGAGCCACCGCGCCCCAGCCTACATTGTTTTTTTAAACATATAATTTATATACTGTAAAGTTAGCCCATTTAAAGTGTACATTTGGGCCAGGCACAGTGGCTCATGCCTGTAATCTCAGCACTTTGGAAGGCTGAGACGGGTGGATCACTTGAGATCAGGAGTTCATGACGACCCTGGCCAACATGGTGAAACCTTATATCTACTAAAAATACAAAAATCAACCAGGCATGGTGGTGTGCACCTATAATCGCAGCAACTCGAGAGTCTGAGGCAGGTGAATCATTTGAACCTGGGAGACAGAGGTTGCAGTGAGCTGAGATGGTGCCGCTGCACTCCAGCTTGGATGACTAGAGCGAGATTCCATCTCAGTAAATACATACATACATGAAGTGTACAGCTGGGTATCTTTTGTGTGTGTGTGTGCTTTAATACAGACGAGGTCTCACTATGTTGTGCAGGTTGGTCTCGAACTCCTGGGCTCGTGCCTTCCTCTCACCTTACTCTCCTAAAGTGCTGGGATTACAGGCATGAGCCACCACAGTTTGATGTTTTTAAAGATAGTCACAGTTGTGCCACATCACCGCTATCTAATTCCAGAACATTTGATCATCCCCAAAAGGAACTCTACCATGCTGGGCGAGGCAGCTCACCTGTAATCCCGGCACTTCGGGAAGCTGAAGTGGAAGGATCGCTTGAGCCCAGGAATTGGAGACCAGCCTGGGAAACACAGCAAGACCCCATCTCTAGGAAAAAAAAAAAAAAAAAAGAAAGAAAGAAAAAGAAAGAAACCTCGTGCTCATGAGCAGACACTTCCCATCCCTCCCTAGCCTCAGCCCCAGTAACCACTAAGCTACTCCCTGCCTCCCTGGGTTTGCCTGTCTGGCCATTTCATATGCATGGACTCGACAACATGCGGCCTTCTGTGGCTGTTTCTTTCTCTTAGCCTGGTGTCCTCAAGGTTCATCCAGGTTGCAGCCTGTATCAGCATGCCTACTCATCAGGATCGATGTTTTTTGCGCAAGCCCCCGAGGACTGACGCAGGGGGTCTACCTGTGTGGCAACATTTGACTTGATGCCTGTTTTCCCCACAGATTCTCAGAAAGAAGAAAAACTTCAAAAGGAGATAGAGAAGGAGATTAGGGGCAGACATTTGCATGTAAATCAAGGTCACCTACCACAGTCTACGCAAGAGGAAAAAACCTAATTCATATTTGCCTTTCCCGAAAGACGCAACATGGGACAGAACCGACCACAGGGGTGAGTGCGATGAATCCTATGTTACCTGGAACACAGCTAGCACAAACTCTCAAGTCACTAGGATTTTTTTTTTTTTTTTTTTTTTTTTTTTTTTTTGAGACGGAGTTTTGCTCTTGTTACCCAGGCTGGAGTGCAATGGCACGATCTCGGCTCACCGCAACCTCCGCCTCCCGGGTTCAGGCAATTCTCCTGCCTCAGCCTCCTGAGTAGCTGGGATTACAGGCACGTGCCACCATGCCCAGCTAATTTTTTGTATTTTTAGTAGAGACGGGGTTTCACCATGTTGACCAGGATGGTCTCGATCTCTTGACCTCGTGATCTACCCGCCTCGGCCTCCCAAAGTGCTGGGATTACAGGCTTGAGCCACCGCGCCCGGCCAAATTTATTTTTATGATAATCTGCCAAAACCTAGAAAGAGGCAAAAAGGGCCTGGTGTGGTGTCTCACGCGTGTAATCCCAGCACTTTGGGAGGCCGAGGCAGGTGGGTCACCTGAGGTCAGGAGTTCAAGACCAGCCTGACCAACATGGTGAAACCCTGTCTCTACTAAAAATACAAAAATTAGCAGGGCATGATGGCAGGGGCCTGTAATCCCAGCTACTTGAGAAACTGATCAAAACTCCATCTCAAAAAAAAGGCTGGGCGCGGTGGCTCACACACACTTATAATCCCAGCACTTTGGGGAGGCTGAGGCAGGCAGCTCATGAGGTCAGGAGATCAAGACCATCCTGGCCAACATGATGAAACCCCGTCTCTACTAAAATACAAAAAAATTAGCTGACTGTGGTGGTGCATGTGGATAATCCCCACAACTTCGGAGGCTGAGGCAGAAGAGTCACTTGAACCCAAGAGGTGGAGGTTCTAGTGAGTCGAGACCAAGCCACTGCATGCACTCCAGCCTAGCAACAGAGTGAGACTCTGTCTCAGAAATAAATACATAAATAGAAAGAGGAGAAAAGACATCAATTTGAGGACGTATAGTGTGATGGGAACAGTCCAAAATACTGACTTTTAAAAAATCAGTGACACAGAATCAGAAAGGAAAGGAAAATAAACAATCAAACAAAAAACCAAGAGTCACAGAGACCAAAACAGTAAAGATAATATGATTTATTTATTTCAAGGGAACCTTTCCAAGACAAGGTGAAAGCTTAAACATGCCCAGTTTATCAAGGAAGAACAGGGAATACATAGTGGTAAGAAAACAATTTTAAAGAAATTCATTTCCCTATTCTGGAGAATTAAGAGGTGAGAGGAAAAAGAAGTGGGTGCGGTGGCTCACGCGTGTAATCCCAGCACTTTGGCAGGTGGAGATGGGCAGATCACCTGAGGTCAGGAGTTCGAGACCAGCCTGGCCAACATGGTAAAACCCCATCTCTACTAAAAATACAAAAATTAGCTGGGCGTGGTGGCGAGTGCCTGTAATCCCAGCTACTTGGGAGGCCGAGGCAGGAAAATCGCTTGAACCCTGGAAGCAGAGGTTGCAGTGAGCCAAGATCATGCACTTCAGCCTGGCTGACAGAGCGAGACTCTGTTTCAAAAAAAGAGAGAAGAAAAGAAAAGAAAACGCAAATAGAAGAGGTAATCAGATAAAGAGAGACAGATGAGAAAAGAAGGCGGCGAGAGGGGAGAGAGAAAAAAAGAACAGCTTGGCGGGGCATGGTGGTGCATGCCTGTAATCCCAGCTGCTTGGGAGGCATGAGAATCACTTGAACCCAGGAGGTGGATGTTGCAGTGATCTGAGATCGTGCCACTGCACTCCAGCCTGGGCAACGGAGCAAGACTCCATTTCAAAAAAACAACACAAAAAAGAAAAGCTTAAATATAAAACCAGAAATCAAATAGGCAGTAAATGTGAAACTCTGTTCAACCACAGAGGTAACTAAGAAAGGCAAATAAACAGGAGGTTTTTTGTTTTTTGTTTTTTGTTTTTTGAGACAGAGTCTCACTCCAGGTTGGAGTGCAATGGTGCGACCTCGGCTCACTGCAACCTCCACCTCCCGGGTTCAAGCAATTCTCAAAACAGGAGTTTTTCGTTTTGTTTTGTTTTTATATAAAGACAGGGTTTCACCATGTTGGTCAGGCTGGTCTTGAACTCCCGACCTCAGGTGATCCACCTGCCTTGGCCTCCAAAGTGCTTGGATTACAGGGGTGAGCCACCGTGCCCAGCCAACAGGAGGTTTTTAATACCTTCACATCAGCAGAGCTTTACAAGGGTGCAGGCCAGAGGATGAGAGAGGTCCACCCAGCCACTTCTGAAACATGCATCAGAGCCTTACAAAAGGATTCTGTCTCCACGCAATAACCCCCTCCTGGTATTCCTTCCTCACAGAACTTCCTAAGGGGATAATCCTAGATTTGGACAGGATATGTGCATGTATATGTTCATACCAGCATTAAGGATAACACCAAAACCCAAACAAGCCAACAAAAGTGGAGATGCCCTGTGCTAGTCCAGGCCCTCTAGAAGCAGAGGCCAAATGGGATTCTTTGCCATACAAGAGATTCATTAAGGCCAGGTGCAATCATGCCTGTAATCCCAGCACTTTGGGAGGCGGAAGTGAGAGAATCACCTGAGCTCAGGAGTTCCAGACCAGCCTGGCCATCATGGTGAAACCCGTCTCTACTAAAAATACAGAAATTAGCAGAGCGTGATGGTGTGTGCCTGTAAACCCAGCTACTTGGGAGGCTGAGGCAGGAGAATCGTCCGAACCCAGGAGGCGGAGGTTAGCCGGGGTGACAGAGCAAGACTGTTTCAAATGAAAGAAGGAAAAGAAAGGAATGAGAAAGAAAGAAAGAAAGAAAGAAGAAAGAGATTCATCAGAGCCAAGCCTGGGAGGGAAAAGAGGAGGGAGCCAGGGTCTGGGGGAGCTGTCCCGCCACAAGGCAGGTCTGACTCCTGCTGGAGGACAGGAGGAAAGAAGGAAGGGAAGTTGGGGGTGCCATCCTGTGAGAGTTCAGCACGAATGTGGGAAAATCCTCGGACAGAGGAGCCCCGGTCTCCCAGGAACCAGCCGCCCCCAGCATCCCTGCTGTGCTGTCCCTAGCTGGGAGAAGCCCTGCAGGAAGCTGGGTCCCATGAGCTGGGTGATTTCGGGGCACAGCAGCTGGGCCCTCAGGCAATTATACTCCCCAGAGTGGGAAATCTGAGGGGCACATTTTCACGGCTGCCATACAACCCCGACGACTGATAATAAGGCAATGACTCAACGGCAGCATTACGTGGCCGTTCAAAGTCATTTTCTCAAAGAATGTTTAACGGCAGGGTAAAATGCTTCAAGTATGATGTTAATTTATAAAAGCAAGTCACAAAATATGTTTATGACGGGCCCCCATTAAGTTAAAAAATAACGTGTTGGAGGAATGTGGATGGAGCTGGAGGACATTATCCTTAGCAAACTAACCCAAGAACAGAAAACCAAATATCATGCATTCTCATTTATAAGTGGGAGCTAAACGATGAGAACTCACGACCATAAAAAAGGAAACAGACCCTGGGGTCTACTTGAGGGGGGAGGGGGGAGGGGAGAGGGGGAAAGGGAAGGGTAGGAGAAGGGAGGGGAACAGAGAAGATAACTATTGGATACTGGGCTTAATACGCGGGCGATGAAATAATCTGTATAATAAACCCCCATGACACAAGTTTACTTAGTTCATTTTCATACTGCTATAAAGATGTAGCGGAGACTTGGTATTTTATAAAGAAAAGAGGTTTAACCGACTCACAGTTTTTCTCAGGTCTGGGGAGGCCTCAGGAAATTCACAATTATGGCAGACATGGAAGAGGCACTTCTTACATGGCGGCAGGTGAGAGAAAGCGGCGAGCAAAGGAGGAAGTGCCCCTTATAAAACCTTCAGTGAGAACTCACTCACTATGGCGAGAACAGCATGAGGGAAACCGCCCGCATGACGCTATCACCTCCACCTGGTTTCTCCCTAGACATGGGATTACAATTCAAGATGAGATTTGGGTGGCGACACAAAGCTAGCCATGTCACTATGTAACAAACCTTCACATGTGCCCCTGAACCTAAAATAAACATTTTTTTAAAAGTGTGTGTGTTTCTGTGTGTGTGTGTCTGTGTGTGTGTGTCTGTGTGTGTGTATGTCCCCATCTGTCTTACATATAGACAGAAAGCGAGACTGGCAAAAAACATCTTTGGGCAGGGTGAGAGTTTTTCCTTTTTGATTGCAATGCTGCAATCTCTGCTCACTGCAACCTCTGCCTCCTAGGCTAAAGTGATTCTTCTGCCTCAACCTCCTGAGTAGCTGGGATTACAGGCGCCTACAACCACACCAGGCACATTTTTGTATTTTTAGTAGAGATGGGGTTTCACCATGTTGGTAAGGCTGGTCTCGAATTCCTGATCTCAAGTGATCTGCCCACCTCAGCCTCCTAAAGTGCTGGGATTACAGGCATGAGTGACCATGCTCAGTCAAGAATTTTCTTTATATTTTCATGTGTTTTCCAAAGTTTCTAAAGTTAGTGTGTATTATTTTAGAAATCAGTCAAATAAACATGATTTCAAATTTTAAGTGAAGGGTTTTCAAGTCTTGGTATTAAGGGTAAAAGACCATGGGACCCCCCAGGTTTCTTACTGTAGCAGCGAGTTTGTGACGTCGGTGCTTCTCCTCAATGACGTCTGACATCAAGCCTGGCTCCACTGTTCACAGCTCTTCACCTGCTCTTCGGATCTCCCAGCTGAATGGGCAAAGTGGCCCCTCGGCATGCCTCCTTGTATAACCAATTTTACAGTAAAACCAATGCAATTTATTTCTTTCAGCCCTTTTATGCACTACCCAAAACGACAGTACTTTACATGAGAGGTAATATTTAAAATGACAATTCTGAGGCTCTCCAAGATACCATTATTCATTTCCTATTCAATGGCCCTGGAAACATTTCCCCCAACAGCATTAGTGCTGAGAGCAGCTAATCTTGGATTCCAGTTTCTGGTTCTCTACTTACCATAAGTGACGTAACCTTAGACAAACTACTTCATCTCTAAAAGTTTCAATTAAACAATTATATAATTTAGTTGTGTGTGTATGTGTGTGTGTGTGTGTGTGTGTGTGTGTGTATTCACAGTTGCGCACCTATCATCACTATATAATTCCAGAACATTCTTCTCTCCCCATTTGCTTTCAATCTCACCAGTGTCTGGCAACCACTAATCTGCTTTCTGTCTCAATGGATTTGCCTATTCCACAATTTTTTTTTTTTTGAGACAGTCTCGTGCTGTTGCCCAGGCTGGAGTATGGAGTACAGTGGTAGGATCTTTTTTTTTTTTTTTTTGAGACGGAGTTTCGCTCTTGTTACCCAGGCTGGAGTGCAATGGCACGATCTCGGCTTACCGCAACCTCCGCCTCCTGGGTTCAGGCAATTCTCCTGCCTCAGCTTCCTGAGTAGCTGGGATTACAGACACGCGCCACCATGCCCAGCTAATTTTTTGTATTTTTAGTAGAGACGGGGTTTCACCATGTTGACCAGGATGGTCTCGATCTCTTGACCTCGTGATCCACCCGCCTCGGCCTCCCAAAGTGCTGGGATTACAGGCTTGAGCCACTGCGCCCGGCCCCTTGTGGTAGGATCTTTGCTCACTGCAACCTCCGTCCCCTGGGTTCAAGCAACTCTTCTCCCTCAGCCTTCTGAGTAGCTGGGATTACAGATGCCTGCCTCCACGCCCAGCTAATTTTTCTATTTTTAGTAGAGATGGGGTCTCAGCATGTTGGCCAGGCTGGTCTCAAATGCCTGACCTCAGGTGATGTGCCTGCCTCAGCCTCCCAAAGTGCTAGGATTACAAGTGTGAACCACCACGCCCGGACCACAATTTCCTACAAAGAGAATCATATGGCATTCGTCCTCTTAAGTCTGACTTCCTCAAGGTTCATCGATGTTGCCGCGTGTGTCAGTGCACCCCACCTTCCGATGGCAGGTAACATCCCACTGTACGGGTGGATCGCATTTTGTTTATTCAGTCATCACCTCAGGTGCACTTGGGCTGTCTCCACATTTGGCCATGGTGAATAATGCTGCTTCCAACATTTACCTACAAGTATCTCTGTTTTCATTTCTTTAGGGTCTATACCTAGGAATGGAATTGCTGGGCTACATGGTAGTGCTACTTTTAACTTCCGGAAGAAATGCCTGGCTGTTTTCCACGGCGGCTGCACCATTTCATATTCCCATTAGCCATGTATGATGGTTTCAATATCTCTCCACCTTAACCAACATTTCGACACTACTTCTGCCTTTTTTTTTTTTTCTTTTGAGACAGAGTCTGGCTCTGTCGCCTAAGCTGGAGTGCAGTGACATGATCTCAGCTCGCCGCAACCCCTGCCTCCCGGCTTCAAGTGATTCTTCTGCCTTAGCCTCCTGAGTAGCTGAGATTACAGGTGCCCACCACCACACCTAGCTAATTTTTGTATTTTTAGTAGAGATGGAGTCTCACTACGTTGGCCAGGCTGATCTCAAACTCCTGACCTCAGGTGATTCACCCTCCCAAAGTGCTGAGATTACAGGCATGAACCATTGCGACCGGCCCATTTCTCTTTTTTTGATTGATCGATTGATTGATTGAGACAGGGTCTCACTCTGTCACCCAGGATGGAGTGCAGTGGTGTAATCATGGTTCACTGAATTTCAGCCTTGACCTCCCCGGCTCAAGTGATCCTTCCACTGCAGCCTCCCGAGTAGCTGGGACTACAGGCATGCACCACCACACCCAGCTAATTTTTGTATTTTTTTTGTAGAGATGGGGTTTTGCTAAGTTGCCCAGGCTGGTCTCAAACTCCTGGGCTCAAGCAATCTACCTGCCTTGACCTTCCAAAGTGCTGGGATTATAGGCGTGAGCCACTATGCTCAGCCTCTTTTTTTTTTTTTTTTTTGAGATGGAGTTTCGCTCTTGTTGCCCAGGCTAGAGTACAATGGCGCGATCTTGGCTCATTGCAACCTCCGCCTCCCAGGTTCAATAGATTTTCCTGCCTCAGCCTCCTAAGTAGCTGGAACTACAGGCGTGCACCACCATACCCAGCTAATTTTGCTTATTTTTTGTGTGGAGACAAGGTCTCACTGTTGCTCAGGCTGATCTGGAACTCCTGGGCTCAAGTGATCCCTCTGCCCACCTTGGCCTCCTAAAGTGCTGGGATTACAGGTGTCAGCCACCTTGCTGGGTCGTCTTTTATTTTTATGTTTTGCCTAATTGCCCTAACCAGAACCTCCACAACAATACTGATATTGACAACACTGAAGGGGAAGGAGCAGTCATCCGCTTCTTGTTCCTGACTGCAGGGCAAGCACCAGTCTCTCACCATGCAACGTGATGTTAGCTTGGACTTTTTGTAGCTGCTCTTCATCAGGCTGGGGAAGTTCTACTCCAACTACTCCTGGTTTGCGGAATGTTCTTATGTTGAAAGGTAGACCTCGGTTTTCTCATGTGTAAAATGAAGACAACAATCTCTATGTAGAGAGTTTTTTGAGGTTGAAAATGGGATAACATAAGGCCGGGTGCAGTGGCTCACGCCTGGGGTACATCTGATTTAACCCTGTAGGCCTCTATTTCTTATCTCTAGCATGGGTATTATAAAGCACCTACCTCATGGGCAGGCAGTGGTAGATGTGATTTAAATAGCGAGACTGCTACGTGCCTGGGACGTAGAAAGCGTATGCTGTGATAGATGACAGATAAAATGAGTCCTCGTCCTGAGAAAAGAGAGATAAAATGTGGTACTGACAGCAACATCACATGTGATGTTGGCAACAGAAATGGAGCACTGGCGGTGGGTCCGGTACACAGGAGGGCAGCAGGCCAGGCCACAGTGGGGAGAGAGCTCTCGCCCTCCCAGGGAGGGAAACGTTGGCAGCGGCACAGAGGGAAGAAGTGTGGAGGGTGGTTGAGTAGCCACAGGGAGCTCCTCTTGGTGGGAGCTGGGCTGTGGAATCAGAAGCAATGGGATTGAAGTTACCGTTGCATTGAATGCTGAGCAATGGATGGAGATGGGGGGATTTATTCTAGCAGACATGTAAATTCAAGTGCTCTGGCTGGGGGCAGGGGTGAAGGGAGGCAGAGTTTTGACAAAAGAATGGGGGCTGGGTGCAATGCTCATACCTGTAATCCCAGCACTTTGGGAGGCCGAGGCAGGTTGGTGACCTGAGGTCAGGAGTTTGAGACCAATCTGGCCAACACGGTAAATCCTTGTCTCTACTAAAAAAAAAAAAAAAAAAATTAGCTTGGGCGTGTTGGCTCGTGCCTGTAATCTCAGCTACCCGGGAGGCTGAGGTAGGAGAATCGCTGGAACCAGGGAGGTGGAGGTTGCAGTGAGTCAAGATGGTGCCACTGCATTCCGGCCTGGGCTACAGAGTAAGACTCCATCTCAAAAAAGAGAGAGAGAGTGCAAGAAAGAAGGAAGGAAGGAAGGAAGGAAGAGAAAAGAAAAGGAAAAGAAAAAGGAAGGAGGAAAGGCTGGGTGTGGCGGCTCACACCTGTAATCCCAGCGCTTTCAGAGGCTGAGGTGGGTGGACTGATTGAGCTCAAGTGTTTGAGACCAGCCTGAACAACATAGCAAGACTCTGTCTCTACAAAAAAAAAGGAAAAAGAAAAAGGAATAGGTGTTAGAAAGCAGGATGATGTTGGCCAGGCACAGCGGCTCACGCCTGTAATCCCAGCACTTTGGGAGGCCCAGGTGGGAAGATCACAAAGTTGGAAGTTCTAGACCAGCCTGGCCAACATGGTGAAACTCTATCTCTACTAAAAATACAAAAATTAGCCAGGCATGGTGGTAGAAGCCTGTAATCCCAGCTACTCGGGAGGCTGAGGCAGGAGAATCACTTGAACCTGGGAGGCAGAGGTTGCAGTGAGCCGAGATTGCACCACTGCACTCCAGCCTGGGCAACAGAGCAAGACTCCATCTCGGGGGGGGAAAAAAAAAAAAAAAGGGCCAGGCGAGGTGGCTCATGCCTGTAATCCAAGCACTTTGGAGGCCAAGGCAGGTGGATCACCTGAGGTCAGGAGTTCAAGACCAGCCTGACGAATATGGTGAAACCCCGTCTTTAAAAAAAATAAAAATTAAAAAAAGGAAAGAAAAGAAAGCAGGATGATGTTTCCTGATATTTTTTGATCAGCGCTGGGAGAGTTCTGTTAGGAGATAACAGAATTCTGACTTATGCCAGCTGTGTGCATGGCAGGGGATGGGACCGCAGTTAGCAACATTTTGGAGAAAGAATTCACAGTCCAAGATTCGATGAATGAGAAGGGGAGGGCAGGCTGTCGTGAAGAAAGAAAACTCAGAAATGCTGCCCAGGGTGTTACTGACTGAGCCAACCAGTCTTAATGGTGGCCTTGATATAAACCAAGACATTTTGTTGGGAATTGGAACAGATATGAAGAATAAGAAAAGTTGCTGCCTTTATAGGTGCTGACTACAAACTCAGCATATGTAATTCTAGGAATCCACAGGAGAGGTGTGATTATTATCCACATTTCATAGAAGACTTCCAGGCACAGGATACTGTCATTCACCCAGGCAGTCACTCAGGACCCAGATCTTGAGGGACTAGCACTTCATGATGAGGACTTTTCTTTTTTCTTTTTCTTTTTTTTTTTTTTTTGAGATGGAGTTTCGCTCGTTACCCAGGCTGGAGTGCAATGGCGCGATCTCGGCTCACCGCAACCTCCGCCTCCTGGGTTCAAGCAATTCTCCTGCCTCAGCCTCCTGAGTAGCTGGGACTACAGGCGTGCGCCACCATGCCTAGCTGATTTTTGTATTTTTAGTAGAGACGGGGTTTCACCATGTTGACCAGGATGGTCTCGATCTCTTGACCTCGTGATCCACCCGCCTCGGCCTCCCAAAGTGCTGGGATTACAGGCGTGAGCCACCGCGCCCGGCCAATGAGGACTTTTGATTCATCTTTTTTTTAAGATGAAGTTTCGCTCTGTCATCTGGGCTGGAGTGCAGTGGCATGATCTCGGCTTGCTGCAACCTCCGCCTCCCCGGTTCAAGCGATTTTCCTGCCTCAGCCTCCTGAATAGCTGGGATGACAGGTGCCTGCAACCACGCCAGGCTAATTTTTTGTATTTTTAGTGGAGACGGGATTTCACTGTGTTGGCCAGGCTGGTCTCAAACTCCAGACCTCAGGTGATCTGCCTGCCTCGGCCTCCCAAAGTGCTGGGATTACAGGTGTGAGCCATCACGCCCAGCCTTAGATTTAATTCTCAATGCAATGGGAAGCTGCTGGAAGTTGAAGCAGCATCTTTCTAAAAGACCATTCCAGGCTGGATGCGGTGGCTCATGCCTGTAATCCCAGCACTTTGGGAGGCTGAAGTAGGCGGACCACTTGAGGTCAGGAATTCAAGACCATCCTGGCCAAGATGGTAAAATCCCATCTCTACTAAAAATACAAAATTTAGCCAGGCATGGAGGCAGGTACCTGTACACCTGTAATCCCAGCTTCTCAGGAGGCTGAGGCAGGAGAATCGCTTGAACTCAGGAGGTGGAGGTTGCAGTGAGCTGAGGCTGCACCCCTCACTTCAGCCTGGGCGACAGAGTAAGACTCCATCTTGGCAGGGGAGGAAGGGGGAAGCCAGGGCCGTCTGTATTCTGGAGGTGTTATTGGGGAGACTTGATAATAGGCTGAATGTGGGAAGACAGGGAAAGGGAGAGGCCAGGGTTCTGTCTGAGTGTCCCGCTGGAGCAGTTGGGGAGATGCCAGTGCCGTTTATCGGGATGCAGAGTGTTTGCGGAAGAACAAGTTTTGGGCACAGAGATGGAAAGTAGGGTTAGTTAGAGGGAGAGAGACTTGAGAAAGAGAAACTTGTGAATAGAGAGGAATGAGTCAATGAAAAAGGAGAAAAATGCAAGGGACAGAAGAGATCACTGACAAGAGAAAGCCTCAGCGGGGAACAAAGGCAATGGTCCAGGAAAAGACACCACCTCTGCGATGTGGCCGCTGTTCCTGTGAAGTTTGCTCTTCCCTAAGGGGCTCTGCATGGGAGCTCCCTTCTGCCTCCTCGCCCCCACAACCCTTCGCTGGTTGATATCTGCTTGTTCTGCTGGTTCCTGGCTCAGAAGTCACCTACCACAACCTACCACAAGTATCAACACAGATTTTATTGCATTTACAGTAAAGTCACTGTTGTATTCTCTGAGCCTCATTCAAATGCAACCTTCAGTACACACATCTTTTTTTTCTTTTTTTTTTTTTTTTTTTCTTTTTTTTTTGAGACGGAGTTTCACTCTTGTTACCCAGGCTGGAGTGCAATGGCGCGATCTCGGCTCACCGCAACCTCCGCCTCCTGGGTTCAGGCAATTCTCCTGCCTCGGCCTCCTGAGTAGCTGGGATTACAGGCACGCGCCACCATGCCCAGCTAGTTTTTTTGTATTTTTAGTAGAGACGGGGTTTCACCATGTTGACCAGGATGGTCTCGATTTCTCGACCTCGTGATCCACCTGCCTCGGCCTCCCAAAGTGCTGGGATTACAGGCTTGAGCCACCGCGCCCGGCCACATCTTTTTTTTTTTTTTTTTTTTTGAAACAGAGGCTCACTCTGACACCCAGGCTGGAATGCAGTGTTGAGATCTCAGCTCACCGCAACCTCTGCCTCTGGGTTCAAGCAATTCTGCTGTCTCAGCCCCCTAAGTAGCTGGGATTACAGGCACCTGCCACCGTGCCCAGCTAATTGTTTTTTGTATTTTTAGTAGAGACAGGGTTTCACCATGTTGGCCAGCCTGATCTTGAACTCCTAACTTCAGGTGATCCACCCACCTCAGCCTCCCAAAGTGCTGGGATTACACATGTAAGCCACTGCTCCTGGTCTTTTTGTTTTTTTTGTTTTTTTTTTCTAAATAGAGTCTCGCTCTGCTGTCCAGGTTGGAGTGCAGTGGCATGATCTTGGCTCACTGCAACCTCTGCCTCCTGAGTTCCAAGTGATCCTCCAGCCCCAACCTCCCAAGTGCCTGGAATTATAAACATGCACCACCACGCCTGGCTAATTTCTGTATTTTTAGTAGAGACAGGGTTTCGCCATGTTGGCCATGTTGGTCTCAAACTCCTGACCTCAAGTGGTCCCCCCTCCTCGGCCTCCCAAAGTGCTAGGATTATAGGTGTGAGCCACCGCGCCCCGCCAGTACACACATCATAATCAAAGGAGAATAAAAAGGAAGAGTCGGGTAAACACACAGCAAGTATTAGGGAAAGGCGGGAGAGAAGCTAGAGAAACTTACACAGATCTCAGTACATAGAGGAGAGTTGACACAAGGTCATTATAGTCCACCGATGGGTGGTGCTGGGAACTTGGGAGACACCAACAGGTTGGAATCAGGGCTGTGGGACAGGTGAGGGGGGCCGGTGGGGAGGACCACTAACCCCTGCTCACTCAGGCCCCACCCCCACTGCATAACTGTAATAGAACTAACCAGCTCGGTTCAGTACTTCCCCCGGGAGTGAAAATCAGTCAGACTTAGATGAAGAGATTAGACTGCTCACTGGGCCATACCCATTAAGGCAGGAAAGGAGACTTTTATCTTAAAAAGCTTTTCCTCTCTCTACACAATAAGGGTTTTCTAGCTAATGATTTTCAGTAAAACAGAATATCTGATCAATCAGAATGCCTCATTCCCCAGGTTTCTCACTAACTGTGATTTTGTAGCTTTTCACAAAGACTTTGGAAACTTTTTTTTTTTTTTTTTTTGAGACAGAGTTTCTGGACTAGTGTGATTATCTTCCAGGAAGAAAGAAAAAAGAAAAAAAGAAAGAGGCCGGGTGTGGTGGCTCACGCCTGTAATCCAAGCACTTTGGAGGCCAAGGCAGGCGGATCACCTGAGGTCGGGAGTTCAAGACCAGCATGACCACCTGACCAACATGGTGAAACCCCGTCTTAAAAAAAAAAAAAAGAAAAGAAAAAAGAAAGAGACAGAGTTTCCCTCATGTTGCTGAGGATGGGGTGCAATGGCGAGATCTCGGCTCACCACAACCTCCACCTCCTGGGTCAAGTGATACTACTGCCTCAGCCTCCCTAGTAACTGGGATTACGGGAATGTGCCACCACACCCAGCTAATTTTGTATTTTTAGTAGAGATGGTGTTTCTCTCTGTTGGTTAGGCTCGTCTCAAACTCCTGATGTCAGGTGATCTGCCTGCCTAGGCCTCCCAAAGTGCTGGGATTACAAGCATGAGCCACCATGCCCAGCTGCCCCTTTGGGAACTTTTTTTTTTTTTTTTTTTGAGACAGAGTTTCACTCTTGTTACCCAGGCTGGAGTGCAATGGCACGATCTCGGCTCACCGCAACCTCTGCCTCCTGGTTCAGGCAATTCTCCTGCCTCAGCCTCTTAAGTAGCTGGGATTACAGGCACGCGTCACCATGCCCAGCTAATTTTTTGTATTTTTTTAGTAGAGACAGGGTTTCACCATGTTGACCAGGATGGTCTCGATCTCTTGACCTCGTGATCTACCCGCCTCAGCCTCCCAAAGTGTTGGGATTACAGGCGTGAGCCACCGCGCCCGGCGATTGGGAACTTCTAAATGACCAATATTGCAGGTATATATGCAATTCTGGAACTGGTATTAAAAAGCATACTTACAGCTGTGTGTGGTGGCTCATGTCGGTAATCCCAGCACTTTGGGAGGCCAAGGCATGTGGATCACTTGAGGCCAGGAGTTTGAGACCAGCCTGACTCACATGGTGAAACTCTGTCTCTCCTAAAAATATAAAAATTAGCCCTGCCTGGTGTCAGGCACCTGTAGTCCCACGTACTTGGGAGGAGGAGGTATGAGAATCACTTGAATCCAGGAGGCAGAGGTTACAGTGAGCTGAGATTACACCATCGCCCTCCAGCCTGGGCAACAGAGTGAGAGTCTGTCTCAAAAAAAAATAAAAAAGCAAGCAACCAAGCAAAGAAAGGCATACTTAACAGAAGAAATCCATATGGTGTCTGCAATGTGCTTCAAAATAATGGAGGTGGGCATGAGGTCTTAGAAGAAAACAAAATTGGCTCTGAGTTGCCAGTTGTTAAAGTGGATGATGGGCATTCTTGATGAGACGAGGGTTCATTATACCGTTCTCCACTTCTGTGTGTACTGGAGATTTTCTGAACTCAAAAGGTAAAAAGTGTATTCATCAAACTTCAGGATAAGTTCAATCATACCACCCTATACAAATCTAATTTCAGATCTTGACTAAAACTAAGGGAAACCATGTTCTGCAGAAGCCAAGTGCATATCAAGATGAAATGCTTTTCATGCCATCTAGAGATGAATCTTATATCTACAATTACTCAAGTTGAAGTTTTGAAATTACCTATGCAGTCTTCAGAGTCAACGCCCTCTGATCCCCCTTCCTCTTCTGCCCCGCCGGTGCCCAGGGCGGTGGGCAGAGGCAGCTGGAGTGGGGTGGCGTGGCAAGGCTTCATCCACAGGCTGTCTGGATGTCTGCTCCTGCCAGGTCTGTGTGAGGTGCAGCACCAGGCCCTCGTCCCGGTGGGCTTGGAATCCGATGGGGAAGAGAAACTGCGTAATCACAACACAATCGGTGTCCTGAGAGCCGCTCTGAGGCCAGACTCTGTGTGTGCGCATGCCTGTGTGTGGGGAGGGAATATGAAGGCTGGTTTCTGGGGATCTGATGTTTAAGGAAGACCCTGAAGGGAAAGAGTGAAGATGGGGAAGGGCTTGGGCAGAGGAGACAGGCCCTGGGAAAACTGTCAAGGGCAAAACCAAACCAAACCTGGTGTGTTCAGAAAATGAAAAACAGCCAAGAAAGCAGGGGAGGGGCCTCCATGAGGGCCTGGGCCTTTATCCGGAAAGCGCTGGAAAAATTGAAGAGCAACCTGGCTAGACTTGGGCTTTTGAAAGCTCATGCTATGGACGTGGAGGACGGGTGAGGCCACCGGCTGAGCCGCTTGGGCAGTGACATGACTTGGATGGAGGTGACGGTAGCGGGGATGGAGAAAAGCGGGTGACGTATTTAGAAGACACAGAGAAGGGAAACTCGGCAGGACTTGGTATTGGGAAGGAGAGGAAGGGCACTGGGGATAATTCTCTGGATTTGGGCTTGGCAAACGGTGGATGAAGAGGCCACTTACACGATGGAAAAGCCCTGTTAACAGGCTTTACCCATGTGGCCTTACTACCTTGGACATGACTCTGGTTTGTCTGTAAATGGAATAAGCCACGCCACCACCTTGAGAACCGTTCAGGGCCATATACACCCCTGCAGCAGCCCAAAGTGTGAGCTTGAGCACCGCCCAGCGCACAGAGGAACGGCACTCCGTCCTGCTCGTGTCCCTGTTCCTCCCTCCCCCACCCACCCAACCTCTGCTTTCTCCTCCACTCATGCCTCTACCATCTTTTAGAAATCCCAGGTAAATATGGAGCTGCATTCAAAACATGAACACAGACCCCTGTTGCTGAGCTCAGCGGAAACCAAGTTCCTTCCAGCCCAAAGGAACCTGTGAGGCACTCACCTTTCCCTCTAGGACCCCCGGTTCTCAGGGCCCAGGCTTGCTTTGAGTCATGGACTTCTCCTCAGGGGAGGCATGGGGGTTTGATCCAACAAGAGCTTGTATATCAACCCACTGCATTCTACATCGAGATCCAGATCCTGGCAGTCATCCCGTGAAGCAACCCCGCGGCTCTGTGCAGGCTGGCTCTTCTCACTGGGTCACCCTGGCAAAGCACAAGGAGCCAGTGGGTGGGTGTGGGGCCCAGGAAAATGGCAGAGAAAAGCTTCTACATTAAACAGAGATGAGCCAAACCTTCTTGGTACCTGAACAAAGGGGCATTTCTACTGGTCAGCTTTCTAGTCTTTCCCACCTCTGGTGTGGGGTCAATAACAAGCACGGGGACCACGGTGCCCAGAGGCCACCACTATTTCTGAAGCCTTTGCAGAGCTGGGCTAGTGCTTGCTGCTGATGACTGTATTATCTAAGCACAGAGCTCCACAGTCTCCTGAACATTCAGACACACGTGATTTCACGTGAAACTGCCGATCGTGCAGGGCTGGTGCTGTCTGCCCAAGTCCTGGATGAGAAGTTTATAGGGGCACCAGTGAGCTCTGTCCACCTGGGTATGGCCTGGAGCAGTGGCCTGACTCACCAGCCCCTGCTGAGGCCACAGGCAGAATCCACCACACTGGGCCTTTCTTATCAGCCTTTGTGGGAAGGCCTGTCTTAAGGACCGTCGACTTTCTGGACACACCTCCAGAACTGCCCTCCCACCCTGGACCTCTTCCTCACCCGGTTGCCTCCATTCCGGGCTGATTACCCTCCTGAGGTTAGAAGCGAGCTGGCCAAGGGCATCGCTGTGCTCAGATCTCTTCATTTTCCCATCTCTTCCATAGCTCAACGGCATAGCATTTAAGGCCACACATCACAGGCTTTTCAAAAAATAAGGTTTCTTTATTGTCTTGGATGCAAATATAGTTTTAAAAATGCATTGTAGTGTTAAATACAGCTGGTGGAAACGTGCTTCTCGACAGCAGAGCATCAGAGGGGCGTGCTCAGGATGGCGTGGGCCGGGGGGCCTCTGGCCAAACCAGACTCTTTTCTGGGTTTCTTCTTCAGACCATGAGGTGTAACCATCACCTCAAAGGAGCCCAGCCATGATCACCAAAGCTCACACCAGAAAAAAAAACGCCATTTACACAATAAACTGAACCTGAAAAAAGACCAGAACATGGTGCTTCTGCTGTGAACAGAACAGCAAGTGAACCCACTCTCCTTTCCCAGGCTGTGGGAAAAGATTCAGCTAGAGAAGCAGGGGCACTCTGGGAGGCCTGTGGGGGACGGCCTGGAGCTGTGGGGCCCTGGCTGAGCCCTTCCTGCCTTTTTAACTGCAGGATGTAAACTCTATAGAAATGTACAGAACTTCGGTTTCTCCCAACCCACCACAATCTCAGCTCTTGAGACCAACAAATACCTGTTAGGAAATGCAGAAGAGAGTCCTTCAAATGAGCTACACCCAGGTTCAGAGCACAGAACCAACAGTGTGACTAGGAAATGGAGGTGAATTCTGCTATACGCTTGAAGAGAATTTCACACAAAATTCCATGAAGTAAACACACACACGCAAGCTTGTGCAAGGGCACGCCTGTGCACACACACATGCACACTCAGACAGTCAACATTCAATGTTAAGAGTTCCCTCTTCTTCTTCTTTTTTTTTTTCTTTTCTTTTTTTTTTTTGAGACGGAGTTTCACTCTTGTTGCCCAGGCTGGAGTGCAATGGCGCGATCTCGGCTCACCGCAACCTCCGCCTCCTGGGTTCAGGCAATTCTCCTGCCTCAGCCTCCTGAGTAGCTGGGATTACAGGCACGCGCCACCATGCCCGGCTAATTTTTTGTATATTTAGTAGAGACGGGGTTTCACCATGTTGACCAGGATGGTCTCGATCTCTTGACCTCGTGATCCACCCGCCTTGGCCTCCCAAAGTGCTGGGATTACAGGCTTGAGCCACCGCGCCCGGCCTGAGTTCCCTTTTCTTAAAGGTTGATTTTTGTAAGCCCTGACAAGCAGAGTCCCATGTGGTGGTGGGGGGCGGAGAGGGGGCCGGCCCTGGTAAAGGCATGGAGCTGGGGGTCCTAAAAAGCTTCCTCAGTATTCCTGGAGCCTCTGCCAAGCTTCACACCTGCCCCATGTGTGTCCCTCACATCACAAAAACCTGTCCAGCCGCCCAAGGCCACAGCGCCCACCGAATGCCACAAACATGCTGCTGAGCCTCAAAGCTCTTCAGTCTCCCTCCTTGCTGTCCCCTCTCCCCCGACAGGTGTGCAGACGTGGTAAAATCCTCTATAAGCAGAGATGACAAGGGCCCGGAGACACACGCCACATCCCCGGGCAGCTCTGGCATCCTGGCTGGCCACCACTGCACGTGCTGCCTGCCTGGATCACTGCTGCTCAGCTCTCTCCCTCCTCCCCAAGGAAACACTGGGGAGCAGGTATAGAGGTAAAAGGCCACTTTCCCACCAGAGGGAAAACAGAGAGGCTCAAATCACACCCAGGCTGCCTGCTAGGAGGCCTCAAATGGACCAGGCAGGGGCCAGACAAGGGAAAGGGACAGCTGAGGGTGAATAGGGGTGAGAGGGTGCTTCAAGCCTGCCGTCAGAGCCAGGGTAAAAAAGAGCTGTGCCAAAGCAAGGTCTATCTGCCAGTGCAGGACCAGGCCCACAGCACCCAAATCCCCTGACATACAGGGGTCCACTGGCCCGGGGCAGGCCCAGCTCCACTCCACAAGTTCTGAGAGCACAAGGTCTTGTCCAGATGACAGCAAGACCTCACCAGCTCCCAGCTGCAGCTCCCATCTCTGAGTTACCTGCACCCCAGCTGCCACCGGGGCCAGTCACAATTGTGCATGGAGATGGGGTGGGTGTTTGAGACGTCCCCACCCCCAGCAACAGACAGTAGTGCTGCATGCCACTGTGCCACTTTATCTGGGCAGGGACGGGGGGTCTGGCACCACCCTGGGATTTTGGGTGCTGTCCCCTCTAAGAATCCAAATTTACATCCTCCTAGCCAGAGCAGACAAACCTTAGGACTGACTTCTAGAAAAGGGAGTGTGGTCAGGGTCCATGGGCGGGAAATGGGAGGGCTGGCTGACCGCTGACCCTGCTCTCCTGGCTGACAACTCCAGGGCCCTGCGCAGCACCGGGAGGGTCTGCAGCTTTCTAGCCCCTTCCCCTCAACCCAGTGCTGTCATCAGCACCAACAGCCAGAGCTGCCACTGCTTCCTGCTGAAGGAGGCCAGCCCGCTTGGGGTGTCAGCTGCTGCATGGCCTGCTGGCTGGCTCCCAGAAAGGCCCTCAGTGGCACCTGCCCTGCCCTGGGGTCTCCCACCCACCACAGAAAGCAGTAGGTGCAGTGTACAGGGATTTCCCAGAAACTAGCACAGGGATTTGTATGCCATCAGTTCTTCTGGCTTTTCTTTTCGGACTTTGTATTTTCTTTTTTTTTGAGACAGGGTTTCGCTCTATTGCCCAGGCTGGAGTGCAGTGGTACAATCTCGGCTTACTGCAACATCTGCCTCCCGGGTTCAAGTGATTCTCTTGTCTCCTGAGTACCTGGGATTATAGGGGTGCACCACCAAGCCCAACTAATTTTTTTGTATTTTTAATAGAGACAAAGTTTCACCATGTTGGTCAGGCTGGTTGTGAACTGACTTCAGGTGATCCACCTGCCTCAGCCTCCCAAAGTACCGGAATTACACGTGTCAGCCACCCACCTGGCATCTATTTTTAAAGGCAGGGTTTCACTCTTTCGCCCAGGCTAGAATGCAGTGTGGCATGTTCATAGCTCACCGCAACTTCTAGGCCCAAGCAATCCTCCAGCCTCAGCCCCCCAAGTAGCTGGGACCACAGGTGCTCACTGCCACATCCAGCTAAGTGTGTGTGTGTGTGTGTGTGTGTGTGTGTGTGTGTGTTTATAGAGTACAGGGTCTCATTATGTTGCCAGGGCTAGTCTCCAACTCCTGAGCTCAAGTGATCCTCCAGCCTCAGTCTCCCAAAGTGCTGGGATCACAGGCAGGAGCCACCGCGCATGGCCCAGGTTGATTTTCTTTCTCTCTAAAGCAACGGCAAGTTTCTTTTATGGAAGTGGGGACAAGAATCAGGGTGAAGTGAGTGTAAACAAAGCCCACCCTGTGGTCAGCATCCACTGGAGGCGGCCAGCAGAGTGGCCTCAGACGTCCCTGCGCCTGGCCCAGGAGCCCAGGACAGAGATCAAATCTAGGGCCCTTGGTCTGGCTGGATTCATCAGGCAAGATTCCAAAACAAGAAAACCTCTAGAGAAAGAAACGATCATGTTTGCAGCAGAGATATGGCACTGTGGCCCTATGGCCATGGCAATCGTGAGCACCAAGAGAATGAGTTACAGAAATGTCTCCAAAGATATGCATCTACTAGGCAGTCGCTAGGACGAACGGACAGACACACAGACACACAGACACACAGACACACACACACACACACACACACACACACACACACACATCCTTCAAGGCTCATACAACCTAACAGCCTTAAATATCTGAAGAAACAGAATCACAACATTAAGTCAGCAGAGGGAGAGGTAGGCCGAAGCGGCAGGAGGCCAATTTTATATCCCACGGAGTTTTAAAAAATGACTCCCCGGCAAGGGGTGGGGAGAAAGCCATTGATTTAGGAGTTCTTGGCTCAGCCAACCACTGCGGTGATCTACACGTTTTACAAAGGCACGGAAGTGGAGAGGGGCTGCACTCGCAACCCTCCCCAGCGCCTGCACAGCTGGCCACGCTGGTGCTTCCTTTTTCCCTTCTGGCCTTGGTGGAATTCCTACCACGGTGGTCTCTACCTTTGGGATGATGCCTTCATGCTTATCCCCACGTAAAGGATGGAGTCTATTAGCATTTCCCAGGGGAATTTCCAAGGACCAGCCTGGCCTCATCTTACGTTCACCCCACGGGAAGGTGATCTGGAAAGCCTTTAAACACGCGCTCTGGGTAGCTGAGTGGTGTCACCAAGCTGCTCTTGTGTGGGGCTGAAGCACAAAGGGGCAGGCAGCTGGCCCATGGCCTACAGTAGGGGAACCCCTGCAGGCCTGCAGGAGCCAGGGAGAGCCTCCAACTGGATCTAAACTTTGGGGGCATCCCAGGGGTGCCCCTCTTCACATGGCTCCCAGGCTCCCTCAAAGCCCTCCCCAGGCCCTGCAGGCAGAGAGGGCAGAGGTCGCCTGGAAAGCCTGCTGGCAGCTCCGAACTCCTCAGCAGGGCTTTAAAGCACGTTCTTTCCACGTGGAGGTACTCTTGGCTGGGCTTCCTGAGTGCTGGAGAGAGTGCCTGCCCCTGCAGCTCTCTGCAGAGGTAACCAGAGAAAGGCAAGGACTGAGGCTGAGCCAGCCTCTGGCTGTGGGCTCAGAATGGCCCTCAGCCCAGCCATGCCTCCACCCAGCCCAGATCTGGGTAGATTCTTTGCTGTCTGATCTGAGAGATGCCTAGAGACAGCTGAGGACTGATGACCGCAGACTGCTGCCTGCCAACATTGTTTCCTTCTCCAAACACATGACGCGACAGACTTTTGATTGTGGGGGCATCTTTGGTCCAAGAACTGTCCTGGTTTGGGGCTCCTAGCTGAACGTCAGACAAGATGACAAGGCTGACAGCAGGACGTGTAGTCTGATCTTCTGCATGCTAGAACTTCAGGGTTCTAAGCTCCTACGGACACACCTGACCTGTCCACAGCTGCCGCTGGAGGTGTGTGGAGAAGAATGGCAGAAGGGCCATGGTGGTGAGGTGACATCCAAGAAGGCCCCGTGGAACTATAAGAGGACAGATGAAACATGCCCAGCAGGGCCTCCCAGCCAGAGCAGCCACTGGGCATCGTACACTTCCATTCTGGTCCTGTGTGTCACATCCATTGTTTTTGCAAACATGTGTCCTCAGCGGTCTCTGAAGAAGGCACTTCCCCCTCGCAGCCTGCCATGCATAAGCCTGAAAAGAAGCCCAAGTCCATCCACAAGGGCTGGGTGCTGTCAGAGTTGAGGGGAGAAAGAAAGACACCTTCTAACAGCCCCATGGGCAGGCCAGAGAGTGGAGCAGGACATCAGAGGCATGCATGTGGACAGGCATGGCAAGAGGGACAAGGCTGGGTCTCAGGGCAGGAGCAGGCCCTGTCACCCTCAACTCAAGGGTTCCACTCACCGGCGCTCGGCCTGGCAGGCCACCAGGAGGGCAGACTAGCACGGCCAGCACTTCCCTTTTGTCTGCCCCAAGGGCAGTGGAGGTTGGTGACTGAGGTCACTGAGTGAGAGAGTTCACAGCAAGGGGTTCCCAAAGGTGGGCTATTGCTGTCAGCAGGCCCCAAACCTGCTTCAGACCTGAGCAAGGCCTCCCGACGGTGCGGTGGGCCAGCAGAGTTGGAGGGAGGCACCGAGGCTGAGTGTCAGGAAGGGCTGGGGGGGCGGCGCAGCCTCCTCTCAATGGGCAGGGAAGGGTCTCCTGGCATCTCATGCGGCCACATGCCAGCTAAGCAGCTAAGACTCCCCCAGTCTCTTGCCAATCCTGGTGATGGCCTCAGACGCCTGCTCCGGCAGCTGCGCCGGGTCTGTGAGGATGGAGGTGGAGGTGCTCAGCTGCCGCAGCGTGTTCAACACCACTGAAAGACAGAGAGGGTCAGACACAGGCGGGACACAGACCCATCACACACCACACGCCTAGCTTGGGACCTACAAGCCACGTGAAAATGCTCAGGCACTGGCGAGCGGCAGCCGCACTGGACTGCAAGGAGGAGTGCCGGGGGCCTTCTCCAAGACCTGAGCACTCACCCCTCTGCCTCCAGAAGCCTCCCCAAATCCAAGCAGGAGCTGCCATGGGCGGAGCATCCTACGCTGCTTCTGCTGCACAGGGCTGCCAGCTGTTCTGATGTTAAGCATCTATAACCTTAACATATGGGATCATCTTTGCTTGTTATTATCAGAATTAAACAAGAAAACACACCTGAAGGCACCTGATACAGGGCCTGACAAATAGTGGGCACTTGATCCATGCAAGCTGGGATCTGAGCAGGCTGGCAGAACGTGAGGACAGGAGCCTAGTGCCCACTCCTGCCCCCACTGGGGGCTCTTGAGGGCCTCCTGGACGGCATTGTACCCTGACCCACCTGGCTGCCCAAACTGGAGTCTGGATTTCCCCCAACACTGTCCTCATCCCAGGGCTATCCTCCTTCCAGGACTAGCATGAAGCCCCCCGCCCTGGCACTGCCCCACTCACTTGGCCTGAGGATGGGCAGGGAGCAGTGCTGGTCCAGCCAGGACAGCGCCGTGCGGTGCAGCTCCTCCAGGCTGCTGGTGGACACCATGCCCTTGAACGACTCGAACAGCGGCTTGATGATGATGCTGAACTGCAGCTGTGGTTAAAGAAAAGGCAGGCACGGAGGAGGGCTGGGGATTGCGGACCCAAAGGTGGTTGGGCTGGCCTACTCATTTTCCCTGGGACTACTAAGTATCTATACACAGAGAATGGATCACTGGGGAAAAGGGGGAGAGACCTCTAGGCAAGGAGTGTCTTCTACTTCATGAAAATACTCTGCTTTAACTGTACCTGGACAACAGGGCCGAGCCCCACGCAGGCAGGAGGCAGGGACACAGAGGTCTCTAGTATGGAACAGGTCCCAGCACAAACACGTGACCAAAATGGTTCTTACATACACTGGCAGGAACATCAGAGGCGCAGAGCAGGGGGAAGGGCAGAAGCTGGCTGAGCAAGATGGTTCACACCTATAATCCCAGTACTTTGAGAGGCCAAGGCAGGTGGATCATTTGAGGTCAGGAGTTTGAGACCAGCCTTGCCAACATGGTGAAACCCCATTTCTACTAAAAATACAAAATTTAGCCAGATGTGACGCTGGGCACTTGTAATCCCAGCTACTCAGGAAGCCGAGGCTGGAGAATCGGTTGAACCCAGGAGGCTGAGGTTGCAGCGAGCTGAGATGGCACCACTGTACTCTAGCCTGGGCGACAGAGACAGACTCTGTCTCAAAAAAAAAAAAAAAAAAAAAAAAGGCAGCAGCCATCTGCCTGAAGGTGGTGTTTGCCTTCTGTGTTAAATGTAAAGGTGCGTGTGGGTGTCCTAGACCAGCTTAGTGAAGGCCCAAGGCCTGTTTCCTCTGGGACTTTGATCAGGAAGGTGCCCAGTTCCCCCACCTCAGCCTGATGTGGGGAGTGTGCCATTTTATCAAAGAGGCTCTGATTCCTTCCAGACATCGTCCAGTTCTATGAATGACAGGGACAAGGCGGGTGGTAAAATAGCAACACAGGGGAACCAGAGCTGATGCCTGTCATCTCTTCATTTAAAAACTGCCTCTTATAGCCAGGCACGGTGGCTCACACCTGTAATCCCAGCACTTTGGGAAACCAAGGTGGGTGGATCACCTGAGGTCGGGAGTTTGAAGCCAGCCTAGCCAACATGGTGAAACCCCGCCTCCACTAAAAACACAAAAATTAGCCAGGCGTGGTGGCAGATACCTGTAGTCCCAGCTACTTGGAAGGCTGAGGCAGGAGAATCACTTCAACCTGGGAGGTGGAGATTGCAGCGAGTGGAAATCATGCCACTACACTCCAGCCTGGGTGACAGAGTGATACTCCGGAATCAAAAAAAAAAAAAAAAAAAAAAGGAGAAAGAAAATAAAACTGCCCCTTAGAGCCTAGGCAACATGCTGAAACCCTGTCTCAACCAAAAAATACAAAAATTAGCTGGGCATGGTGGCATGAACTTGGAGTTCCAGCTACTCAGGAGGCTGAGGCAGAAGGATGACCTGAGTCTGGGAAGGTGGAGGCTGCAGTGAGCCATGACTGCATCACTGCACTCCAGCCTGGGTGACAGAGTGAGACCCTTTCTCAGGGGGAAAAAAGAAACAAATAAAAGCCTGCCCCTTCCAGCATACACAGTTGCTGTGCCTGCCCTGCCCGGCAGCGGCAACTGGGATTCTCTCCTCCTGCACAACTGTCTCCTCTGACTGTCAGACCCATGCCCCAGTGTCACGGCTAAATCAACTCATGTGCTGACTGTTAACTCAGTGGTAGAGCGGTGGCAGGGTGGGGAGTGACCAGGCCGGAACCACTCCCCGTGAGAGCCCCGGCCCGAGACAGCTCCTAGCGCTCAAGTGGATGTGCTTCACTAGGCTTCAAATTGGGCTCTGCTACTCGCCCTCCCGGTGGCTTCAAGGACCAAGCTGGCTGCCGGGCTGTGTGGGACCACGCCTCCTTCCCCTGCACCTTCTGCAACTGGCTCTAGCACTGTCCTGATTTCTTTTTTTTTTTTTTTTTTTTTGAGATGGAGTAGTTTCGCTCTTGTTATCCAGGCTGGAGCGCAATGGCGCGATCTCGGCTCACCGCAACCTCCGCCTCCTGGGTTCAAGCAATTCTCCTGCCTCAGCCTCCTGAGTAGCTGGGATTACAGGCACGCGCTACCATGCCCAGCGAATTTTTTGTATTTTTAGTAGAGACGGGGTTTCACCATGTTGACCAGGATGGTCTCGATCTCTTGACCTCGTGATCCACCCACCTCGGCCTCCCAAAGTGCTGGGATTACAGGCGTGAGCCACCGTGCCCGGCCTGTCCTGATTTCTTAAGGACCTAGAGAGCAAAGCCCACTGTTCCACCTTCCTAGCCTTTCCTGCAAAGCACCCTGAAGCTCCATCAACAGCCATAGCCCACACAGCAGGCCAGGCCAGACTCTCTTCTGAGACGAACATTAGCACTGCCTGTTGTGAGGAGCTTGGTAACAGCCATTTAAAGAGTCTTTCTAGAGTAACTAGTGTCACGGTCTGTGGCTTCAGTGCATTGGCTGAGGGCTAGGAAGAGCAAAAAGAAAACCGAAAGATACAATCCAGAACTTCCAATTCTGTAGGGTTCGGCTTTTCACGTATTCATCAAACATGTCTCTCATGTGATCGAACTGGCGCCGGGTGACGGGGACTCCTGTGGCAGGGAGCAGCTGCTGGCAGGAGCTGAAATGACAGGAGCCAGGGGAGCTGTGGAGCAGCCAGTGGCCCATAAGGACCCTGGGACACAAGATGGGCAGGGCTGGCCTAGTGCTGGGCCACAGCCAGGTGCAGAGAAGAGAGGTCTGTGGAAGGAGGGTGACCAAAAGTGGAGTAAAGAGGCATCGATCAGTGATGAGGCCTCAGGGTCCCACCTCTGAGACAGGCCCTGCATGGGGATGGGGTGCCTGGTTGGAGCCCCAAGGCTCAGAAGCTCACATGATAGTGGCATTGAGCTCCTCGATCTCCTCCCGCAGCCGCCGGGCCTCCTCCTGCATCTGGCCCCTTTCCTGCTGCAGCTTAGTGATGTACTCCACGGTCTTCTGCAGCGTGATGGCATGGCTGGTCTGCAGAAGGGGCAGGCGGCTGGAGGCGGCGCCCACAACCAGCAGGCCTGCCACCAGCAACGACCACGCAGGGAGCACATCCTGCCAGCTCCCCTGCCCTGCCACGGCCCCATACTCTTGGCAACTTACCAGCTTGGAATTGTTGGAGATGAGGCTGTTGAGTGTGTTGAAGCCCATCTTAATGTTGAAGCGCCTTTTCTGCTCAGCTGAGATGTGTTTCATCTGCCGGTTCTGCTGGAGAACCCGCTGATCACTGAGACAGGCATGTTGCAGGCACGCTGCCCACCCCTCCTCGCCCGCTATGCTGATGGTGGGTGCCTAAGGGCCAAGGCTAGAGAGCTACGTGGGAGGAGGGCACAACGAGAAGCTGAAGGCTCCAATGAGGAGCCAGGAGGCGACAGGACTAGGAACCCTAGAAAACCAGCACTGCAAAATGGGGTGCAGCCAGGGCAGGAAACCACGGGCTGAACTGGGTCCTGCCCAGCCCGCCGATAAGCCTCTCCTTCCCCACCCAGTCCCGCCTCCTCCCCCTAACCCAGCCCCGGTGGTGGCCATGCCCCTCTGGAGCTGGGCAGCCTGAGAGGTACCTGCCAGACTAGGTGGACTCATTGTTGGCTCCCGGGCTTGGGCCTACCCAGAAGCCTCCGGTGGGCCCACCGTCCCCACAGGGCTGGTTCGTGGGAAGGGACAAGGAGAAACGATTTCTGATCCACCCCTGCCTGGGGCAGCTCTGGCTGGGTCTAGGTCTCCGTTCCAGACAGACACAGCTCCTTAACATCCTTCTGCCCTTCCCTCCCATCCTCCCAAGGGAACCAAGACCTGAGAGAGACATTCGGTACCTTTAATGCAGCCACATTTTTGGGGTCGGATTTCCCTGAGCAGTTGTTCTGGGGAGACTGAGGGCTGGGGCTCTGCTCTGACGCACACGGAGAGGCCTGCCCTGAGTTTGGGCAGTCCCGACCTGGTGAGAACAGTCTCCTCTGAGGGATGGAGCTCTGGCCCCCCAAAGCCACCAGGAGGCAGCCTGGGGTCTCTGCAGGGCTACGAGGTGCTTGCTGCTACCCGCATATGGCACTTAGTTCTTTAAACTGCGCACACATGCTTCCTTGGATTTTTCTTACCCATTCCCTGAAAATTTTAAATTAATAACAACAAAAACACCCTTAACCCACACAGAACACAATGGAGCAACCCTGTGTGACATAGTCCAGTCACTGGTGGCACTTTAGGAGGTATTTCCCAGGTGGGCTCTTTATTATCATATTTTTAAATTTAAAAACTTTTTCTTTTTTTTTTTGAGATGGCATTTCGCCCAGGCTGGAGTGCAATGGTGACATCTCGGCTCACCACAACCTCTGCCCCCTGGGTTCAAGCGATTCTCCTGCCTCTGCCTCCTGAGCAGCTGGGATTACAGGAATGCGCCACCATGCCCAGCTAATTCTGTATTTTTAGTAGAGACGGGGTTTCTCCCTGTTGGTCAGTCTGGTGTTGAACTTCCGATGTCAGGTGATCCGCCTGCCTAGGCCTCCCAAAGTGCTGGGATTACAGGCATGAGCTACCACACCAGGCCACAAAAACATTTTTTATAGAGACAAGTTCTCACTATATTGTCCAGGCTGGTCTCAATCTCCTGGGCTCAAGCGATCCACCTGCCTGAGCCTCCCAAAGTGCTGGGATTACAAGAGTGAGCCACTGTGCCCGCCCGGGTGGACTCAGCCTTCTCGGCCCATCCTGCTTTACTGTACACATGCCTCCGCTTCCTTTCCTTTGTGCTGGATGACCATCCTCCAGCTCCCCGTGAGGCTGTGCAGTAGGCTGTTTAAGTTCTGTGTCCTGTGACTCCAGAGATGAGGTGATGTTGGCCCTAACCTCTCCCTCAATTATTTCAGGGGCTTGACTCATAACTTTCCCTCCTCATTTGTGTCTTCCTGAGGGAGGAGGGAGACAACTGTTGGCTCACAGAGTTCCAGGAGCAGCTATACCATGCTTTTCTTTTTTTTGAGAGAGATTCTTACTCTGTCACCCAGGCTGGAGTGCAGGGGCTTGATCTTGGCTCACTTCAACCTCCACCTCCCAGGTTCAACTGATTCTCCCACCTCTGTCTCCTGAGTAGCTGGGACTATAGGCACATGCCACCACACCCGGGTAATTTTTTTTTATTTGGCAGGGATGAGGTTTCACCATGTTGGCCAGGCTGGTCTCAAACTCCTGACCTCAAGTGATCCACCCATCTCAGCCTCTGAAAGTGTTGGGCGTACAGATGTGAGCCACTGCCCCCGACCCACACCGTGCTTTTAAGAAAAGGGGCCAGGCCGGGCGCGGTGGCTCAAGCCTGTAATCCCACCACTTTGGGAGGCCGAGGCGGGTGCATCACGAGGTCAAGAGATCGAGACCATCCTGGTCAACATGGTGAAACCCCGTCTCTACTTAAAAAAAAAAAAAAATTAGCTGGGCATGGTGGTGCACGCCTGTAGTCCCAGCTACTCGGGAGGCTGAGGCAGGAGAATTGCTTGAACCCAGGAGATGGAGGTTGCGGTGAGCCGAGATCGCGCCATTGCACTCCAGCCTGGATAACAAGAGTGAAACTCCGTCTCAAAAAAAAAAAAGAAAAGGGGCCATTTCTATTTCCCTTCCTGGCATGGCAGGCATTTGAGGGAAGGGGCCCCCATCTGCCTGCATCCCCTACCAGCAGCACAGCCTTGGGCAAGCCGTTCATCCCTGACATGGCCTGTTGGCTTCTCAGATGTCCCTGGGCAAAATCAGTCCTGCCCTGACTGTCTCATCCCTGGGAGAACCAAGAGTGGACATGGGCCACAGCCCTGTAGGCTAAGACCTGCTGGGGAAGGCCACATTGGTGCCCAAATAAGGCCGGGCAGCTTCTGTGACCACAGCAACCCCAGGCTGACATTCCCAGAAACTGGAACACCAGGGTCCCTCAATCCCTTCTCTGGGTGAGAACGGCAGCTCAGAGCCAGGCCTTTGAGGGTGGCCAGCAGGGACTCCAAAGCACACCGGCCACCTACACTGCCACGTGCCCACTACTTTTCGCCTTGCCAGTGCCACCACAGGTCATCGTGCCATCCACAGAGCGTGTTCCCAGCCTGTGTTATCAGTAGGCTCCCAAGACCTCACTGTGTGTCCTAAGCCCAGGCTCTGTCCTGGAGAGCCTGGCAAGCAGCCTCCTGATCCACGGCAGGCCCAGTTACTTCCCTTGCGATGCCCAACCGTCCCTGAGTGGATACTCACTGGGCCCTGCGACAGTGACCTGGGGGCTGCCCCCATGCAGTGGGACCTGCTCGGCCTTCCCCAGGGTGTCTGGCGCTGTGCTTGGGAAGAGCCGGGAGACGGGGGCGGGTGGGTTGCTCGTGCTGTGGCCGAGATCTGTCACCAGGATGCTGCTGTGGAACTCCGGGACCCCAGGAGCCTGCAGTGACATGGGAGAGAGGTCACCCTCGACCGCTGATGCACAGCAGGGCAGGACACCTGTCATCTCAGGTGAGGGCCGCCCAAGAGCAAGCTGCTCCAGGGTGATAAGGACACCGGGGGTCTGTCCAGGGCCCTCCTCACCCTGGCGATGGCGGCAGGTGCGATGACCACGTTGGACTGGGACACCGTGGAGGCCAACATCCCTTCTCTCTTCAGAGGCCCTGATGTCATGATCACTGCTTGTGGTTGGCCTGAAAAGGGAGCTGCCAGGACAAGGAGGAGGCTCAGCTGTAGCCCTGGGACACAGCGCCTGGCCCGCCCTGCAGAGGCTGCCTCTCTGCCAGTGAGACAGCTTGTTCCCAATCACAGGGGATAGGAAGACAAAGCCATCAAGGCACCTAAAACTTTGTGTAATTTCTTGAAGGAGACATGTTATAGACCCAGGAAAGAGATGGCCAGGGCCACATGTTTTAACATTGTAGGTTGTGACTAACTTTAAAAAAAGGTAGAGTAGAGGGTGGGTGCAGTGGCTCACACCTGTAATCACAGCACTTTAGGAGGCCAAGGTGGGCAGATCGCCTGAGGTCAGGAGTTCGAGCCTGGCCAACATGGTGAAACCCCATTTTTACTAAAAATACAAAAATCAGCCAGGTATGGTGGTGCATGCCTGTAATCCCAGCTACTCAGGAGGCTGAGGCAGGAGAATCGCTTCAACCCAGGAGGGAAGATTGCAGTGAGCCGAGATTGCACTCCAGCCTGAGCAACCGAGTGAGACTCTGTTTCAAAGAAAAAAACAAAAAACAAAACATAGAGAATAGAAAACAGAATAGATCATACACATGTATTATTTCATGACACTTTTGTTTCATTTGTGTGTGTGCGCACATGCACGTGCGCATGTGTGAGAACCAGGGTGGTGGTGATAACAAGTTTGAAAGCCTCTGGGACAGGAAAACATCCCTCTGGGTTGGGGGAGCCCCACACTGAGTCCCCCACCTGGCTCACCTGGGGCGATGCAGGCATTCTTCAACACCAAGGACATGGGCTCTGGTTTGGGAGCAGGCACTATTTTGTGAGGCTGCTTAGGCCTTACCCCCGTCAAGGATACAGGTTTGGGATGCACAAAAGTTAACCGAGGCTGGGGAGGCCGGGTGACAGGAGACAGTGTCAGGCCACAGGGAGTCACTGATGGGGCAGGGTGATGGGTGGTGATGACGAGGCCCTGACTCTGGCTGAAGGTGGTGGCGGAGGCATCATGGGTGAGGGTTGCGGAGGCTGTGTGGGTGATGACAGACGGCGGTTTGCTGACTCCAACAAACTTCTGTGGCTGCTGGAAGGCGGGTGGAGCCGGAGGGTTCAGGGCAGTGGCTGGAGGAGGAACTATCGGTAACATTGGGGACACAGATGGCGGGGCAGGGCTGGGGGACAGCAGGGGCATGGTGAAGACGGGCAGGAAGGGCTGTGGGACACTCAGAGGCGGCTCTGAGGGACCGAAGTCTGTGGGCTGGATAAATGGGTCCTCAGTCCGGGAAGCGGGTTCACAGCCCTGCCCATCCACAGGATCCAGGGATGGGGCAGCATGGGGCGCGATGAGGCTGTCAGGAAGGCTCACGGTGGGGAGGGCGGGGGTCGGCAGGATGCTCTCCTGAAAAAGGAACAGAGGAGCTTGGAAGCAATGCTGGTTCAGACGATTCCTTTCGAGAGCTGCACACTAGCAAGTCCAACGAGACAGGCTAGGCATTGGGACAGAGGGACAAAGGCCAGGTCTCCATGCCTGTGGCTGCTAATCTCGGGACACCGATCTGTGTTTTCCTGTGTGGCTTAGGGGTCTTGTTTCCATTAAAAACTAAATACTCAGTCCTCAGACCAGGCAGCGGCCCTGGCACGGCTGGTTAGCAGCCTGGGAATATTTTGTTTCTAGAATCCAGCTCTCCCCAGTCTCTGCCATCTTCTATTACTGAGCAGAGGCAGCCTGGACTGCAGCTGCTCGGGGCTCCCGAGAACAGTTTCACGTGTCAACTCTTTGTGAGGCCACCTCTTGCTAAATGGGAAAAGCTATGAGGAATCAGTAGTTCAGATCCCAGTCTCTGCAGCAGAAATTCTTTCCGGAGTTGGTTTGAAGATGGTGCCAGGTTATTACCAGTGTCTAACTGGTCATGGGCATAATCATGAGGGATCCATAAGGACAAAGAACGGTTCCTCACTCAGCTCTGTAGCCCAAGCACTTGTAAGCAACTTTTTTGATTGCTTAGTAAAATGTGAAAGAAATATACAGATGTTATTTTTGTTAGTAATCCATGTTTTTCTTCGTTGTCTAGCTAATTCTGCCTTAATTAGCTGGAGCAGACCTAGCTGCATATAGGTTACCTGGCACCTCAGGCAGGAGCACACCTGGACCAACAGGGTCTCTCGAACCTCATGGGTGCTGAAGGATGCCATCAACAGGGCTGGAATTGTGCCTCTGCACATTAGCGCTGGTCTGGCACTGTTTGGTGCTTTGCTGGTGACTGTGTGGCTGTGTCATTAGCCTCGCTCTGGCGGTAAAGCTTTGATGAGCAGCCCTGTGCCTGCTGGTCCCTTCCTCCACCCATTCCCCAGCTTCCACTACCTGTGCAGGTGGGTTGTTGGGATCTGGTACAGGTGCTGAGGCAGGTGCAGGTAGCATGGAGCCAAAAATGGAGCGGCTAGAAGAGAAGAGGTCTGAAAAACAACAACAGGGTCTCTTGAGCTCAGTGTGCCTGGCATTTGCTGGAATCAAGACTCAAACAGGGCCAGGCATGGCGGCTCATGCCTATACTCCCAGCACTTTGGGAGGCTTAAGTGGGATCATCACTTACTTGAGATCAAGAGTTCAAGACCAGGCTGGGAACAAAATGAGACCTCATCAGTATTATAAAAAAAAAAAAAAAAAAAAAAAAAAAAAAGCCGGCCAGGAGTGGTGGCTGACAACTGTAATCCCAGCACTTTGGGAGGCCAAGGTGGGCAAATCGTGAGGTCAACACCATCCTGTAATCCCAGCACTGTGGGAGGCCGAGGCGGGTGGATCATGAGGTCAAGAGATCAAGACCACCCCTGCCAACATGGTGAAACCCCGTCTCTACTAAAACTACAAAAATTAGCTGGATGTGGTGGCACGTGCCTGTAGTCCCAGCTACTCAGGAGACTGAGGCAGGAGAATTGCTTGAACCCAGGGAGTCAGAGGTTGCAGTGAGCCGAGATCGCACCACTGCACTCCAGCCTGGCGACAGAGCAAGACTCCATCTTTGGAGGGGGAAAAAAAAAAAAAAAAAAAAAAAAAGCCAGGCATGACGACGGTGCACACCATTGGTCCCAACTACATGGGAGGCTGAGGCAGGAATATCGCTGAAGCCCAGGAGATTGAGGGTGCAGTGAGCTGTGTTCATGCCACTGCATTCCAGTCTGGGCTACAGAGCAAGACTCTGTCTCAAAATAAAAGACGAAAACAGGCTGGGTGTGGTGGCTTACACCTGTAATCCCAGCACTTTGGGAAGCAGAGGCAGGAGGATCACCTGGGCAACATAGGAGACTCCATCTTTTTTAAAAATGAAGAAATAATCTGGGTGTGGTGGTGCATGCCCCTGGTCCGAGATACTCAGGAGGCTGAAGTCTGAGGATCACTTGAGCCTGGGAGTTCAGGGCTACAGTGAACCATGATTAAGCCACTGCTCTCCAGCCTGGGTGACACAGCAAGACCCTGTCTCTAAAAACAAAAAACTCAAACAAACCAAGGACTAAACCCCTAAACCCCACATGGCTGAGGGGGGATGCCATGGCCAGAGGGTATTACCCTCAGAGATGTCTTTTTTTTTTTTCTGTAGAAAGGGGACTCTGGTTGGAACCACACATGCTGTCAACTATCTTGGGCTCTGAAACACGCCCAGGCCTGGGATTTCTGCTGTTCTCACATGGCAGGGGCTCAAAGACCCATCTAACTGCAGGGCCTTCGCAGGGAACTGGCTGTGTCATCACTGCCCTCTGCTGCTTCGAGGGAGAACTGCTTACAGTCATGGCTAAACCCAGGGCCAATTTCCTTGGAGAACAATGTCCCAGAAAAACTTTCCAGACCTTGCAGTTACTACAAAAAACAGTTCAGTTAAAAAAAAATTCTGTGCCTGTCCCCTTGTCCATTCTACCAACTCTTGTTCTTAAAGGAAGGCAGTGATCTGCTCTGTGCTGGGCCGGGAGAGGCAGGCAGCCGCGCGCTCGGCCTCTGGTCCTCACCCTGGAAAGGCTCGAAGGTGTCCATGAAGTCCAGGTTAGGCTGCAGAGGCATCAGCCCCGGCTGGATCATGTCTGCATTTCCCAGATGTGCTGCAGGAACCACAGAGAAGAGGAACCATTTTGTCTTTTCAGACAATGATGTAAGAATGGAAGAAAGGGCTGGAACAGACCTGCCAGGCCCTGCTCACATTCTAGAGTTTTCCAAGGAGCTGGCTGGGATTTCTACCTTCTCATGGGTTTGTGGCCATTCTGCACGCTCAAAAGGCAGGAAAGTAAGTTTTTGCCAGGAAGGTAAAATTGAGTATCAGGGAATGGACACCCCAGGAAGCTGTGAAGAGCTTCAGCAGAGAACAGAGACCTCCTCCAACACTGTTCTAATTTTCAATCTCTGTGTTCTTCCCTGAGGGGTTAACTGAAGACTGAATGTCACTGAGGTGAGCGGTCACACCCAGGGGTGCTTCTGACTTTCTTTAGCATGAGTCACGGCCCGGCCACCTCAGCCTAGACAAGGCCCATGTCCCCTGTGAAGACAACAGTACTGAAATGTGCCACTGGCTCAGACCAGACCCTGCTGCTGTCTTCCCACCATGGCACCACGGGAATGGCAGCTGCCCAGTAGGCCCACTCTGCAGACCCCACCCACTCAGTATGTGCAGCCTGGATGTTAAATGAGGCCAACTATCCTTCCCTTCCTTACTGCCCACCCCCAACCGTGACATGCAGCAGCTCAGAGCCGGCCCTGAAGGAAGCCTGGCCCGGAGCGGGCTGGCAGAGAAGGAAGCAGCTGGCTGTTCAAAGCCCAAGGCCCTGGTTTGGGTTACCTATTTCCCGGGGATTGGGCCAGGCCACTGGATGGTGTGAAGACAGCGTGGAGAAGAGGGTGTCACTGAATTCCGACATGAGCATGTCTGTGTCCAGCAGGGGGTCCTCCTCCATGGGGACGGGGGTCTTCCATCCGTCCCTGTGCTTGTGCCAGTACAGCATGTCATAGTCCTAACACAACACCAACACAGGGGAGGAAGTGTCAAAGGGTAACAGTGGGACGCAGAATTCCCACACCTGTCACCTGGGAAATTTGTCACAGGGGCTGTTCCACGGAAGTAAGGCACCAGGGTGGAGGCATTCAGAGAGTGGCTCCCTCCAGCTCACCCAGGAGAGAGAGCTGGACTGCTTCTGAGCCATTCCTAAGACCCCAGTGAGGGCTCATGGCCTGCCACCTTCTGCAGGGCTCCCAGTGGGCCACTGAAGTGCCTGCTGTCTCATGTCACAGTGGGGGTCCTCAGAGATCCCAGGCCCACTCACCTGGGCCAAGCTGGAGAGGTCCTCATCCTTGTGCTGCTGTAGCTGTAGGCAAAGGGACAGAACAGGGTGGTCACCAGGGGCTCTAGGAGAGCCCAAGGGCTCTAGAATATACAGAACTCTCAGGGAGGCATGTAGGGAGAAGAGTCCTGCTCATGCCACCCCAGGCTGATGCCTGCACAAAGGAGACTCCCACCCAGGGCACAGATGGGGAAACAGAGCAAAAACGACACGACCTCGGCAGGCCATCGCCTGGGCTAGTCTGGCACGCTGGGCCCCAGCTTTACTTCTTGACGCACCACACCCAGGTGGGGCAGCTGTGGAGTCTACGGCCTCGGCCAGGGCTCTGAACCCGGGCTCTGCCCCTCCCTCCCTCGGCTGGCTGCCTGAAAACTCTAGCCGGATACCCTTTTCTTGAAGTAGGTTCTCCACTTGTGATACTCCCGGATCACAATCTCGATGCGGCTCTTCCAGTACTTCCCTTCCGTGGTGATGGCCTGAGAGACAGAGGGCAGAGTGAAAAGAGGGGGCTCTGCTTGATCAGCAAAGCTTAACTGAGGTACCTGTCTGGCACTATGATCAGGACTCAGGCAATCCAGCTGGAAATCCCACAATGGCTACCATGTCACTCAGAAAACAAATCCCACTTTTGTGCTCGAGCAGGTCCTCTAGCTAATAATGCACTTTCATTTCAAGACCTAAGGTAGCCAAAGGCCTTGGGGGCACGGTCCTGAGGCTCTGCCCAGGAGTATGGGCTGAGAGCAGAATGCTCCAGCAGGGGAAGAAGCAGGGAAATGCTGCGGAAACTCCCAACCCCCCGCCACAAATGCCCCTTCCCCAAAGCCTCTGCCACATTCAAAGAGCAAAAATGAACAGCCAATTCCAGGAAGTTTCAGGTGGAATGCGCCCTCCAGGGGCCTCACATCCAACCATCGAGTGCTGCCAGTGTGGATGCCGTGCACGACAGCCTTCCAGCTCTAGAGCTAAGGAGCCCCCTCCGTGCCTGGGCCTGCCTCACTTTCAGATCTCAAGGCCCGAATCACCTCACCTACAAACACTTCCGTGTGTGTCCTCTATGGCAAAGACGTTTTGTTATAAAGAACTGATGACAATATTGCCATACCCAACAAAATGATATCCCTTGATACTATCTAATGCCAGATTACCCCTGTCTTTCATTAGCTTACCTTCTAAATTCCATCTTTATCGTAACAGTGAGACATGCCTGGACAACATGAAAGCAACGCGGAAGAATATGCAGTGAAGAATACAACCTCCCCTCACCTGGCAGCCCTAATCCTATCCCCAGAGGCTCCTGCTATTAAGAGACTTCTGTATATTCTTCTAGACGCTTCCTGTGCATGTATAATCACACATAGACAAACACTTTAAAAATTACCAGAAAGACATTAACCCTCTCCATCCTCGAGCTGGCCCTTCTGAGAAGGGGGAGGCTCTGGCAGCCTGGGGTTGCCAGAGGCCACCAGGTTCCAGGCCTGGCCCCCACGCCATGGATGGCACAGGGCAGGCCCAGGGCTCCCCTCCACAGCCTCTCCTGCAGGACTAGCCCGCTGTGAGCCGCTCCTGGTGAGGTGCCAGTGCGTTTCCTCTCTCAGCCACCCTGAGTCACCGCCAAGTACCTCTGGCCGGCGGTGCTCATCTACATCCACAGAGCCGTCCAGGGGCGTCACAAAGTGGCACACAGGATTCTTGCGCTTCTCCAGATCTGAGAAGAGAGAGGGTGAAAGTCATCACCATGATCCAGACCCAAGGGAGCCCTGTCCTGTCTGCTGCACCCCTCCCCAAGGGCGGACAAATTCCCAGGTACCCTTTCCTTCTCCTTCCCTTCGAAAAGGAGATTTCAGGGGAATAAAGGAGTCCAGGTGAAAGGGGAGGATCTGTCAATAACCCCTCAGCCAGAAAAGCAGCGTGGCTTCTCAGAGAAAGACCAGCCCAACACAAGCCTGCCCCAGCACACTCATTTCCTGGAGAAGCTGCCAGGTCCGTGGCACCCAGGCTGGAGAGAGACGGCCCGTGCCCGAGTCTTCCTAGACCTGCTCCCTGACTCTTCAGATGTCACCCCTCAAATGTCCACTTCCCTAGGACTTGGCTTGGGTTTCCTGTCGGCAGAGACTAAACTTCTGTTAGAAACTTGGCTTGGGTTTCCTGTCGGCAGAGCAGACTCTGGCCCCTGGGTGCCCAGGCCTCCAGGCATGGAGCTCTGACCGCCACAGGCGCGCAGGCTGGGCGGCACTTACACTGCATGTACCAGGCCCGCCAGATGGCATTATTCAGCCGGATCTTATCTCTCCACTGGAGCTTCAGGCCCTTGAAATTCTTCCACTTTGGAGACACCAACTTCCCACTGAAAGGCAAAGCAAAGTGGGGAGACTCAGTGGTTCCTCTGAAAATGAAGTGAAATTTAAAAGTGCTACCCAATCATTCCAGGTCCAAACTCCTGACTGATCCACCCCAGCCACAGGTCGGGCTTCATGGAATTCAGGTCACTGGGGGATTTCTTCAGAGCGATACATGGGGCAGGGAGTGGTCGGGATGCTGTCAGGGTTCAGAGGACAGGACTGGCCATGGAGTGTAGCCACTGGCGCAGGCAACGGCATATGGGGTTCACTATAGTCTCTGTCTACTTTGGCCTATGCTACATATTTTCCATAACTAAAAATTAAAAAGAAATCTGTTGACCACAGAGTGAAAACTAGGCTCTTTTGATCTGCTTTGCCACCAGCCCCCGTGAGGCATTCACAACCCAAGCACCTGAGTATCCTGCTGGCCTGAGCTGCTGCAGGGCAGGGCCCTTCCTGCCTCCCAGAGCCTCTGACATGGTCCTCACTCTTGATGTCCCTCCACTTGGCCACCTCCTCATCCCTCAAGATGCTGCCCCCACATCATCTCCTCTGAGCTGGCCTGGCCTCTCCCAGGCTGCGCCGATTCCTTCAGCGTCTGTCTGCTCTCCGCTTCAGGACAGTCTCACAGGAGCACTTCTGTAGCAGTGTCTGCACACACGCACCTTCCCCTGTGGACAGTGCAGCTTCTCTAGGGAGGACCATTAGGTGGCTTGGCACACAGTAGGGGCTCAATTAACAATTCTTCATTAAATAAGTCAAGAGCACTTGTAAACCCAGCCTCCCCATGGCACAGCCGTCTTGGGCAGCTCAGTTTTCCAAGTGCTAGGCCAGGAGCCGTCTCTAGGGAGTGGCATAGGGTTTCTCTTTTTCAGATGGCTTGAGATGGGCAAGGCACTATTTCTGGCCCCTACCACAGGGGGGCTGTGGAGGTTTTATCTGACCACAGGCCACAGCCCTGCCCCTTCTCCAGTCCCACTCAGAAAGGCCACGTGGCAAGCCAACATCTGCCAACAATAGCTGCAGACTTCACAGGAAGCGCCTGAGCAACAAACATTCCGTGAGGCTGGAACCTGCTCTGGAAGGCAGATGCCCCTGACTATGACCCTGGCAGGACCCTCACGCCTGTCCACACCCAACCCAGCAAGGAGCCCAGGTTCTGGGCAATACAGGCCAGAAGGTTATGTCACCCCCAGAAATATGTCACGGTGCATCCTCTTAGCACACGAGAGACATGCAGAGAGCAGCAGCCTCCGCCCAACAGGTCAGGCACTCAGAGCAATCACACGTTTTCTTCCTTCCTTCTCTCCCCAGTTCAAAGGCTTGTCTAACCTACCTCCATGCTGATGGCCTGGCCTCACTGGTGGTACAGCAGGCAGCTGCGGCACCAGAGAGCCATCACTGTGTCATGGCATACCTGCTGCCTACCTGTGGCAGCCACAGCAGTGTCCTGGGTACAAGCAGAATGACACACTCTCCTCCAGAGTATGTTAATAAGGACTAAATGAGAGCATACTTGTGTACAGTAAAATACACACACACACACACACGTACATGCTTAGACACACACAACTGGTAAACCCTAAAGCAAAAACAAAGATTTTTTTTTTTTTTTTTTTTTTTTTTTTTTTGAGACGGAGTTTCGCTCTTGTTACCCAGGCTGGAGTGCAATGGCGCAATCTCGGCTCACCGCAACCTCCGCCTCCTGGGTTCAGGCAATTCTCCTACCTCAGCCTCCTGAGTAGCTGGGATTACAGGCACGCACCACCATGTCCAGCTAACTTTTTGTATTTTTAGTAGAGACGGGGTTTCACCATGTTGACCAGGATGGTCTCGATTTCTTGACCTCGTGATCCACCCGCCTCGGCCTCCCAAAGTGCTGGGATTACAGGCTTGAGCCACCGCGCCCGGCAAACACAAAGATATTAATAACCATCTTAATGATCTACAGTTATTACTGAAAAGCATATTTTTTTTTTTTTTTTTGAGATGGAGTCTCACTCTGTTGCCCAGCCTGGAGTGCAGAGGCACGATCTTGGCTCACTGCAACCTCTGCCTCCTGGGTTCAAGTGATTCAACGGCCTCAGACACTCAAGTAGCTGGGACTACAGCCACAAGCCACCACATCTGCCAAATTTTTTTTGTTTTTGAGATGGAGTTTCGCTCCTGTTGTCCAGGCTGGAGTGCAGTGGCACGATCTTGGCTCACTGCAACCTCTGCCTCCCAGGTTCAAGTGATTCTCCTGCCTCAGCCTCCAAGTAGCTGTGACTACAGAAATGTGCCACCACACCTGACTAATTTTGTATTTTTAGTAGAGACGGGGTTTCACCATGCTAGTCAGGCTGGTCTCAAACTCCTGACCTCAGGTGATCCGCTCACCTTAGCCTCCCAAAGTGCTGGGGTTACAGGTGTGAGCCACTGCGCCCGGCCTAATTTTTGTATTTTTAGTAGAGATGGGGTTTCATCATGTTAGCCAGGCTGGTCTTGAACTCCTGACCTCAAGTGATCCTTCCACCTCCACCTCCCAAAGTGCTGGGATTACAGGCATGAGCCACCACGCCCAGCCGGGCATGATGTTTTTAACAACCCCTGCCCTGACTTCAAAAGCCCTTTCTCTTACATTTGCCATATTGCCATGTGGTTCCTCTTCCTCCACAAGTGGAAAAGGTGACACCTGTGCCCTCTGCCAACACCAGGAACAGAGACCTGGGCAGAGGTCGGCCTCAAGTGAGAGGCCAGCCCTGAGGGTAGGATCCTTGTAGCTGCAGAAGCCTCACCCGCTCCGCACTGTGAAGAGCTGAAGACTGAGGTCGGAGGACGGGTGAGGCGGTGAGGTCCCCCTCATGCAGCATGCCCTTGGCGGAGGCACATGTCATGCCTGTAAGCTGAGTGTCCTGAAGGGCAGACAGTTGTAGGCACAAGGTGGATAACCAACCTGGCCAGAGCAGCCAGGAGAGGTTTTCTGGAGGAAGTGGCATTTAAGCAAAGGCCTAGTGGATAAGGAACACCAGCTCAGCCGAGAGGAGGCCAGGCCCATGCAGTTCCTTCTGCCTGGCCTGTGGTGGCTCCAGTGAGCAGGAACTCAGCCTGATCCAGGCAGTGAAAAGCCCTCAATGTGTGAGCCAGGTGTGGTAGCACCTGCCTGTAGTCCCAGCTACTGGGGAGACTGAGGCAGGAGGAATGCTTGAGCCCAGGTGTTTGAAGCTGCAGTGAGCCATGATGGTACCGATGCACTCCAGCCTAAGTGAAGGAGCAAGACTCTGTCTCCAAAAAAAAAAAAAAAAAAAAAAAGAAACCAAAAAGGGTGTCACACACCAACAGCTTCAATCCCATGCAATGAGGGGAGTGGCAAGATGCAGGGAAATTTAGCCTTACCGGCTAGAAACCTCAAGGTTTAGTTTGAGGGTCCTCTCTTCTTCCTCTCCGTGAGCTGAAATGTTTCCCTTTTCTTTGGTGTTTACGTCCAGCAGTCAGACTTCAGCAGCAACACAGAGACCAGAACTCCCAAATGGGATCACCCCTCCACCCCGGGTTTCTGTAATACCTCCATGGCCAACAGGTGGTGCTCAACCAACACAAAGAAGGGTGTCCAAATCAAAACCCAAACTTCGACCAGCCACAGCCAGAAAGGGTCGACCACCAGGCACCTCCAGACCACCCCCACGGCAATTTCAAGTCAAGATCTGTGGAGGTAATGCGTGTAGTTCTATGATGCCTCAGAAGGTGGCGAGGGAAAATGAATGCTTCAGGTGTTACAAAGGAAGGGATGCCCTGGACAACTCATGCCTGGCAACGCTGGGCAGGCTTGTGTAGATTTCTCTCCTGATGGGCCTGGCAGAGCTGTTAGGCTGTGCACTGTCAATCTTCAAAGGAGGGGAGAGGACAAGACATCCACGGGGACCCTTCTTCACAAGGTACTCAGGAAAACCTGTTCCAAAAGTCCCACAAGAGGCCAGGTGCAATGGCTCAAGCCTGTAATCCCAGCACTTTGGAAGGCTGAGGTGGGAGGATCACTTGAGCCCAGGAGTTCCAAAGCAGCCTGGACAACACAGCAAGACAAAAGAAAGAAAGGGGAGGGGAGGGGAAGGGAGGGACCAGAGAGGAGGCAGACAAAGCCGGCCAAGCTCAGTGGCTCACGCCCGTAATCTCAGCACTTTGGGAGGCCAAGGCGGGCGACACAAGGTCAGGAGTTAAGAGACCAGCCTGAACACCATGGTGAAACGCTGTCTCTGCTAAAAATACACCGGGTACAGTGGTGGGCACCTGTAATCCCAGCTACTCAAGAGGCTGAGGCAGGAGAATCACTTGAACCTGGGAGGCGGAGGTTGCAGTGAGCCAAGATTGTCAGCCTGGGTGACAGAGCGAGGCTCTGTCTCAAAAAGAAAAAAGAAAATAGCGGGGAGTGGTGACCTGTGCCTTTGGATGCAATGTGTGCAGTTACTAAATGAGTTATTAAATTAATGCTAAAGTAGCCAAGTACAGACCAAGCAGCCTGTGGTCCAGGCTATTTGGAAGGCTGAGCTGGGAGGATCCCTGGATCCCAGGAGCTGGAGAGGGCAGTGAGCTATCCTGGCACCACTGCACCTCAGTCTGGGTGACAAGAGACCCTGTCTAAAATTCTCTTTTAAAAAGCCCACAAGGGATGCGGCAGTGGAGGGAGCCTGCCCTGGCAGAGCCCCCAGGGCAGCACCAGCAGAAAGCATCTGTGGTTGGGAGGACTTCTGCTCTCCCAACTCACGCCACCAGCTTAACATATTCCAGACAAAGGTGACTGGGCTGCCCCTGAGTCTAACTCAGAATTATGTCGGAATCTTTCTTAGAAGTAGACCAGAAACATGTTCTGGCCATTTCTGTGAGACCACTGGCTTCCCCCCAAGACCCACAATCCTCCTCCAGCCTCTGCCCCTTGAACCCACCCCTGCCATCTCCCCATGAAAACAGCGAAGCCGGACTGCATTCACCCATTCGCTAGCCCTCTCCTCCCCTCTGGGGGAAGACTGTTGCCTAGGGTCGCCAGCACAGGGCCTAGCACATGAGAGGTGTTTTAAATATGGAGTTATTAAACGAATGCTAAATTTTCCATGAAGAACAATCTTTACACAGCTCTGCCATGGCCGCCCTTCCTAGAAGGCAGGTTCTTGACATGAAACAGGAAATTCACAGTACAACAAAGGTCTCTCTCAAAACTTTTCTTGGAAGAAACTAGCAAACCATGAATTCCTCAGAAGTCTGGCAAAAGAGTGCTTTGGAATGGAAGGAAATTAAATTGAAAGCCTTGCACAGACCAAGCTGGAAGTAAGAACAGGGGCAGGCAGAAAGGGCAGGCAGGGCATGGCTAATTTTGTTGGTTCCGGTTGGGATGAACTCCTGACTCATGCTCAGATCATTCTCTCCAAAAGAAAGCACACAGAGGCCAGGTGTGGTGGCTCATGTGTGTAATCCCAGCACTTTGGGAGGCCGAGGTGGGCAGATCACAAGGTCAGGAGTTCGAGACCAGCCTGGCCAACATGGTGAAACCCTGTCTCTACTAAAAATACAAAAATTAGCCAGGTGTGGTGGTGTGTGCCTGTAATTCCAGCTACTCAGGAGGCTGAGGCAGGAGAATGGCTTGAATCCAGGAGGTGGAGGTTGTAGTGAGCTATGACCTTGCCACTGCACTCCAGCCTGGGCAACAGAGCGAGACTCAGTCTCAGTTAAAAAAAAAAAAAAAAGCCGGGCACGGTGGCTCAAGCCTGTAATCCCAGCACTTTGGGAGGCCGAGGCGGGTGGATCACGAGGTCGAGAGATCGAGACCATCCTGGTCAACGTGGTGAAACCCCGTCTCTACTAAAAATACAAAAAATTAGCTGGGCATGGTGGCGCGTGCCTGTAATCCCAGCTACTCAGGAGGCTGAGGCAGGAGAATTGCTTGAACCCAGGAGGCGGAGGTTGCGGTGAGCCGAGATCGTGCCATTGCACTCCAGCCTGGGTAACAAGAGCGACACTCTGTCTCCAAAAAAAAAAAAAAAAATTAAAAAAAAAAAAATGGCTGGGTGTGGTAGCTCATGCCTGTAATCTCAGCACTTTTGGAGACCAAGGTGAGTGGATCACCTGAGATCAGGAGTTCAAGACCATCCTGGCCAACATCAAGAAACCCCATCTCTACTAAAACCACAAAACTTATCTGGGCATGGTAGCACATGCCTGTAGACCCAGCTAATCAGGAGGCTAAAAAGCAGGGGAATCACTTGAACCCAGGAGGCAGAGACTGCAGTGAGCTGAGCCAAGTGCACCACTGCACTCCAGCCTGGCAACAGAGCAAGACTCCACCTAAAAAAAACAAAAAAAAAAACCAAAAAAACCACATCCCTGGCTTCCTCCCGACCCTCCCTACTCCCTGACAGACAGGTAGAGTGGGGCATGTCACAGTGAGTGCTGAAGGAGAACCTGGGCTGGGGTCGTTCCCTCTTTCCTCTGCTCCTGGAGGGAGGGTGGGGGTAGGAGGTCAGTCTGGGGTTTACTTAACAAGCCATATCCTCACTTGGACAACAATAAAGGAAATATTTTGGCCACCATCTGCTGACTCTTTTTCTTGTGGAAAATAAATATAAAATTTACCATTGTACCATTTTAAAGTAGATGATTCTGTGCCATTAAGAACATTCACCATGTTTTATAACCAGCACCATTAATTACCTAGTTCCATACCTGTAATCCCAGCACTTTGAGGGGCCAAGGCGTTCGAGACCAGTTTGGGTAACATAGTGAGACCCCCATTTCTACAAAAATTAGGAAATTAGCTGGGCTTTGTGGAATGTGCCTGTGTTCCTAGCTATTCAGGAGGTTGAGAGCGGAGGATTGCTCAAGCCTGGGAGGTCGAGGCTGCAGTGAGCCACTATGATACCACTGCACTTCCAGCCCGGGTGACAGGGCAAGACCCTGTTTCAAAAGAAGACAAGAGAAAAGAAAGAGAAGGAAAGAAGGAAGGGAAGAGAGAAAGAGAGAGGAAGTTCTTTCCCAAATAATTTGGAAAAAAAGAGAAGCAGGAAGGAGGGAAGGAAGAGGGAGGAAGGGAAAGAGGGGAGGGGGGAGGGAAGGAGGAGGAGGGAAGGGGGGGGAGGAAAGAGAGAAAGAGGGAAAGAAAGAAAAATTATTTTTTGAACTTCACTACTTTCAAGGCAGAATCATACTCCACTCATAGATGGACCACATTCTGTTTATCCATCATCAGCAGGACACGGGTCGTTCCACCTTTGGGCTACTGTGAATACTGCTGTTACAAAGTGACTCCTCTGTTTTATTTCCCAATCAGTTTAGGACTCTTGGTGGGGAAGAGTTCTCATCACTGAGCTGGTGCTGGGGATAGAACGATGGGCAAAAACAATTGTGAGCCTTCCTGAAGGGCAAGCTGACACTGCCCATCGACATCAAAAATGTGCATCCCTGTGACCCACAAATCCACTCTAGGAAGTGATTCCACAGATCCACTTGCACATAGGCACAGAGACGTGAAGAGAGGGACATGAAACTGCAGCACTGTTTGCAGCAGCAAAGGGTTGAAATAACCTAGATAGTCATCACAGGGGACCAGCTAAAACTGTGGCATATCTACATAGTGGAACACTATGGGGCAATTTTTAAAATAACACATTCCTATGTGGTAATACGTAGGCAAGACCTACAAGACGCACTGTTAAGTAAGTGAAAAAACAAAAACAAAACCAAGGCGCAAGATATAAGGTGTGGCTACCATTTATTTTTTATTTTAATGATTGATTGATTGATTGATTGAGACAGAGTGTCACTCTGTCACCAGACTGGAGTGCAGTGGCACAATCTCGGCTCACCACAACCTCTGCCTAATTCCCCTGCCTCAGCCTCCTGAGTAGCCGGGACTACAGGCACACGCCACCACACTCGGTTAATTTTTTCTCATATTTTAGTAGAGATGGGGTTTCACCATGTTGACCAGGATGGTCTCAAATCTCCTGACCTCGTGATCTGCCCACCTCAGCCTCCCAAAGTGCTGGGATTACATGTGAGAGCCACCATACCCAGCCTATTTTTTTTTGAGACAGTCTCACTCTGTTGCCCAGGCTGGAGTGCAGTGGCACAGTCTTGGCTGACTGCAACGTCTGCCTCCTGTGCTAAAGTGTTTCTCATACCTCAGCCTCCCGAGTAGCTGCGATGTGCCACCACTACAGGCATGTCACCACACTTGGCTAATTTTTGTATTTTTAGTAGAGATAGGGTTTTGCCATGTTGGCCAGGCTTGTCTCCAACTCCTGGCCTCATGTGATCCACCCACCTCAGCCTCCCAAAGTGCTGGGATTATAGGTGTGAGCCACCACGCCTTGCCCAGTATGGCTATCATTTATATACACAGTCACACAGACACATAGGAAAGGAAGGAGAAAAGACAGGCAGCAGATCTCAAGATGGATACATTAGAAAAGGCTAAGAGTGACATAGCAATTTCTCTTTGCAGAGATGTGCTGGAGAAGCAAGGGGTCCAGTGAGCTGCAGTGTTCACTGGTCACTGCTTAGTGTTGTTGAAACAGAACACTGGAATGTACAGCATTCCTCCCTTTTCTGCGGTATTGTGGTTTACCCACGATCAACTGCTGTCTGAATATATTACATGGAAAGTTGCAGAAATAAACAATCTGTAAATCGTAAACCGTGCATGGAATTTCATGCCATACCACTCTGTCCTGCCTGGGACATGACTCATCCCTCTGTCCAGCAGATCCATGCTGTAAATGGCACCTGTCTGCTAAGTCATGTAGTGGCCATCTCAGTGATCAGATCCATGGT